TGCTTCCTTCGTGGTTTATCTGGACATACAAATGTGTAAGCTTGCATTTTCATTAAAAATTAACTTATTTAAGTTGTAGTCGTATTACTTGAATAATATGATAAAAAATAACTTTCATATTTATAAACAGTAGGATTAGACCTTTCAAATGGTGTATGATATGTAGTAGTAATAATGATTTACGAGCTGATATTTTCATTGATAAACATAGGCTTCATCTATGACCTCAGAGTCTCTGGGAACTCGGTGTCATGGCAGTAAATGCCTCTGGTTGACTGGTGTTGAAAGAGTCAAGAGTATTCTGTGTTGGATGTTGTGTTTGATATATGCTGTTACATGCAAGGATGAAGGTCATTATATTACATCAAAGTGTGTGTTGTGTCCCTAGATTCAAACAGCAGAGTTGAGCTCTACTTTTATGTATATATTTTTGTATTGCTAAATGCATGAGCTTGAGGTGTCTTCAGCACTGAAGTAGTGTCCATTTTGTTGTGATGACCTATTGTCTTCCTCCATCTTGTTCTGGCAGTGTTCAAAATGCATTGTAAACATTGCAAAGGATGGTCCACCAGGGCAAGCTATGGGCATTAAAACAGCTGTACTGCATGCATTAGAAATCGATGGCCTCCCAGTACATGTTGAGTTAAAGAAGCATCACACAACTGTGGACATCATATGTAGATTAAATAATTGCTACTGTTCTCTGTTCAATCTCTTGAGACTTCAGGCAGTTCAAAGAGCTGGTGCTTCTCATGCTATTCCCTTATGGGAATTCCTCCGACATGGAGAATTTATTGAAAACTGTCTGGGGAAAAAGTGTTCATTAAAGCTGTACGGTTATGTATTGGACTGCGACTGTTTTCCAGTATTCCCTATCATTGATTGCTGATCTAAAATGTACCATCTGTAACGGTTCTTCAGAATTATCAATACAGGAATGTCTATGACGTCAGTTGAGTTACTTTTGTCCACATGTTTTCCGAGCTACCTGAGACTAGAGTCATGTTGACTGGTTGTACCTCAACAGGTGTTGTTCAGACCCTACTTACCTCCCCTTGATTGCCAGTTACCTGTACTCCGACATGTGCGTTGTGTTTGCCAACCTCCAGGAATAGCCCCACGTCTGATGCCCCCTCTTCTGCCTGTCTGGGTCTCCTCCTCTACAATAACAACACTGGGGAACTGAGCTGGATTCAATCAAAAAACTACGTAACCCGAATGTCAAAGGTTCACGCACCGGTGTGCAAGACCAGCAGAAATAGCCTGTGTATGTTTGTTGTAAAAATGTTAGGAATTGAATGGAGTTCAGACGATGTAAATATCATCATACGTCTTGCTAACATCAGCTGTGTTGGATCAAAAAGCAACTATCTACATAAAGTTCCTAGAAAGCTGAATGAAGCAAGCTTGCTCCTCTCTGTGGGTATTAGGGTGGGATAAGAGTGAAAGTCTCTCAGGTTATGTGTGAGGGAGTAAAGCCCAAGGGACAGAAGGCAGTGGAAAGGGAAATGGATCTAAGCTTGGTCTTACTGTGCATTCCTCAAACTCTCTAAGGACTTATAGTCTGAAATGTTCTCTTAGAGTCAGTTTTTTTACATATTTTACCACAAACTGATCATTCACAGATTTCTTGCTTTAATTCAAAAACAGGCTTTGAAAAACTCAGCTGTAGAAAGGAAATCTTATTTAAACCATGAACTTTTTTAGTGAAAACTCTTTATTGTTTGTAACGACAGTTCAGGGTGACTTCTTTCCCTCTTATCTGATGAACGCCTTGAAGTAACCTTGAAATGTTGTTCCAAGCAATAAAATAGTTATCTGTGAAAGTTTCCTGTCTTCAGGGCTTCTTCTTGCCCCTTCATCATGTGAATGATTCCCCTGATACAGGAGCAAGAAGTGTCCCTGTAGCATCATTACCCTGTAACATCATTACAAAACGTAAAGAAATTGTTATCTAGACAAGCTTAGTGTCTTGTGTTCTTTAAACTTATAAGTGCCAGTAAAAGACTTGAGCTTTCATCTCATCAAATTGCCTTGAAGTAATATAGCATTGGGTTGACTTTTTGTATGGTATACAATTTGTGACAGAATAGTTTGTACTGACTGTTATATAAACATGAAGCCTAGTGCAGTGTTTATCTCGTGTACCAGAATATGAAGTACTGAGTATAATGGTCACAATGTGTTTGTGAAATTCAGGCACATTGCATTTATTCACAATCATGCACATTGTCATCTTGTTGGTTTACACATGTGACAAGTGTAATTGAAATTATGATATTCAGAAATTAGCTACTGATACTTCTGATAGAAGAAGCAAAAATATTTGTGACAAGATTCCTGTATTTAATGACCATGGCATTAAATACTACACAATGTTGGAGGATTATGAAGTTGTTTTATCATGTTTATAGGATGTTGGTTTTTTTTAATTCAGATCTACACCAAACTGACAGATGAAAGAACATATGCAATATTGCAATACATATTGAAATACATTGATCATTATTGCATAAAATTCTAATACAAATGTCTTGCTAATACCCATGATAAGTCATGTTGACAGAGGTGATGCGTTGCCAAATAGATAGTGAGTCTAAGAATCTAAATTCAGTATTCTATGTCATTACAGATCCCTGTATTAAACAATATCAGAAGCTTAACATGATACCGTAATATGGATGCCTTTAAGATTATTGTCGAGGATGTAAGCAGCGGTAATTCAAGTCATGGCATCGTCGTAATACAAATATTTGAGTTTCATTCAAGAAATTTATAAGGGAAGTGTTTGTTAATAAGTGCAATTATAATTTGAATTTCCTAACTGCACAAAAAAACATTGAGCAGAGACGACGAGAGAATGCAGGGAACATTTTGGGGCATTCCTGTTTGGACATTAGCCAGAATGAAACTACCTGTCCGTGGGGGAAACCTCTTACTGTGATACTATGTGTAGCAGTTGATATGACAGCAGAGGTGTCATATGACATAGTGTGTGAAGTAGAAATAAGATGATTGAGTCTTCCAAGACACTTTCTATCTCATGTTTGTGTGTGGAGAGACCATTGACTTGAAGTGTGCACAGGTAACATGATACCTGTCACTTGAAGGTGAAGATAGTGCCTTGAAGTCATTTTCCTCACCCGAGCTGGAGATATGATCACTTTCACTGCCCATCAGTAAAGGGAAACACAACTGCAATGCCTGGAGGTGTTAGACCCGCCAGGAATAACAAATCACCTCCTGTTCGCTTTGATGTATTAATGAGATGGCACATGCCTGCCATGTTTGTTTACATTCGGTAACCCGTAGAAATGTGGCGAGTTTGGAGAGAGAGCGCTTGGTTTGCCTTGATCAGTACATTCCATTTCACATGTAGTTGAGATAAGGAGAAGTATGCATGTTAGATTTACCGTTTGATTATTTGTTATGCAGTGAACAATATATATTTGAAGTTGACTCGAAGCGAAGATGGATTATAGATATTTGTGCGAGGTCTGACTGAAGAAAAGGGTTTTGTTGTCTAATGAACCTTATTTATAATACAGTCTTAGTTGTGTTGTTATGTGTTACAACTCTCCATGCTGCATGTATAAACTTGTGTTGTACCCGTGAAGGTCCGGGTTAGAATATTGATCTTCAGTAACCCATGCTTGTCATAAGAGGTGACTAACGGGATCAGGAGGTCAGGCTCGCTGATTTGGTTGACACTTGATCAGCTCCTAATTGCGCAGATCGATGCTCCTGCTGTTGATCACTGGATTGTCTGGTCCAGACTCGATTATTTACAGACCGCTGCCATATAGCTAGAATAATGCTGAGTGCGGCGTAAAACTAAACTCACTCACTCACTCCTCTCAGTGTTGTAGAAAGTAGAGGTGGTAAGGTTATAAATGGCAATCACTGGATAAAAACAACTCTGAAACATGAATACCATGTTTACTGTATAAAGTGTCCTGCTCCAATAAACAAGTTCTAGATCAACCTGCAGAATATATACTGATGGAAACAGAGTATGGAAATAAGAGTAAGATACTTTATGGATAACAACTTCTTTATTATATATAATGCGACATTTCAGTATAGATTCTTATACCGTTGTCAAGCACTTGTTACTTCACTCTTGCTTGACAACAGTATAAGCATCTATATCTGGAAAAGAATGTAGGAACATTTCTAATTTTGTGTATTTGCTTATTTGTTTCCATCAGTATATTCATAAGCCCCTCCTAATCAGACCACAGCTTTACATGTTAGTGTGTTGTTTTCTTGTGGATGTTTCAGATTATATTTTAATACAGGAGTGTAGAAGGTCCACTTTTGTGTTTGGTTTTCATGAGTACTGTGTAATGTGTTCTGTCACTATGTATGGTCTGTGTGCTCTTATTTAGTGGACTAAGTGAAACTCATATGTCCTACTTAACTCAGGTAATAAGATCAATGCTGTCTTATTCAATAATAAGATATTTATAAATACACAATGTTAACAAACACCACCTTTAATTTAGGTTGCAAAGAAATAAGTTTGGCTTCTGGAACTGTTTTAATGAAGGCTTCATGATGCTTGCATAAAAATGCTTGATTATAGACTTCTAAACTTAAGATGATCTGAAATGTCATGGTAGTAATCAGATGTGTTCTTAAATTCTGTGTACAATAACTTCTTCATCTGTTTCAATTGTGAGCATTTCTTGTTGAAACGGCTTATGACTCACTCAAAACCATATCATGAAGAGATGCCAACCTCCTTATGCTTGCTCATGCTGGAAGGGTGAAATCTTATGAATTGTAGCATGTGAATGTCAGCCTAACCCACTTCCATCCTGCTGATTTATATACAGATTATTATTTTGTGATGTCCTAAATTTGATCACATTTTCCCAGGAAAGTGAACATGTTCAAATAACTATGCTACCTCTCCAGCTTATTTAAGCAGATAGTGTTTAATCAATATCCCTGATGAGACTTGTAACACTGTATGTTTGTATTTTCTGTTTCAGTTATACAATGAGGAAATCCTGGATTTACTTGACACAACAAGGGACCCAGAATCAAGGGTAAATACAATCCTGCGCTTGGTTTCATACTGAAATAAAGTAATTTTTTATTGTGACTCATTACTACGGGCTAGATGCTTGGTCAATATTCAGTTGATTCACAGCTTATTTCCAAACGCTGTTTTGTGTACCGTAATAGTAGTACTTTTTGTGCTTTTTGGGAGAACTAGTTCTTGGACCACAACTCTTTATGACATGTGGACTTTTGACAATGTTAGTCCTTGTACTGTTACCAACAGTGAACTGTAAATATTTTGAACTGAAATTGGTTCCTCTGCCTTGCCAAATTTATGCAAAACCCAGGATGTTAGCATTGTTTTATAAGAGCACAATGATAGGAATATAAACCTGAATGAACCCCTTCTCATGATGTTGTGCCATGAGTCTCAACATAGCACTAACCCAGCACTTACTCCACTGTCTAATTACTTAGGGAATGCTATGCAATACTTTTTCACAAAGTAAACTCCACATCTATGTACCAATCTAACCAAAAATTGTTCCTTCTAGGGGCTCATTTGCATATTTATTGGATTGGTTTATAGAATTGATAACACTTCCCATAACAAGTTGACTTGTTTTATTTGTATGTTATTTAGTTCAACTTGTGTCATTGTTGCCTTCAGGGCCGCAAGTCTCACATCAAGATCCACGAGGATGCAGCTGGAGGGATCTACGTCGTTGGGGTCACAACTCGAACTGTCGTGTCACTTGAAGATGTAAGTCTCCTTCTGGGAATTATTGTTATGATAAGAACCTATTAATCTATGACCTTTGCACAATGTGTCTTGAGTGAGTGAATGAGTGAGTTTAGTTTTACGCTGCACTCAGCAATATTCCAGCTATATGGTGGAGGTCTGTAAATAATCAAGTCTGGACCAGACAATCCAGTGATCAACAGCATGAGCATCGATCTGCGCAATTGGGAACCGATGACTTGTGTCAACCAAGTCAGCGAGTCTGACCACCCGATCCCGTTAGTCGCCTCTTACCAATGTGTCTTAATGGCACGGATGACTAAGCTGATAGCACGCTGACATGTTGATTGTTGTTCCTGACATCAACCACTGGTTTGTCAGGAGCAGACTGTATTTTACTGCTGTGTGGAACATTAAGCAACAAACAATGGACAGAAAAAGAAGATAGTCTGTCTTGAGATACAGGGAAATGAGGTACTGCTGACACAGTTGACAAGTCATGATAACCTTAGTCAAGGCTGCCCGTTTGACATCGGTAGGTCATTATGATGGCAAAGTCTAAAGGACTTTTTGAATCGTTCTTTATGTTGAACATTGACAAAATGGTGAACAACAACTTTTATTGCCTCAACTAGGGATTACAGTGGGTCTTATTGCTTCCTGTGTTGACAATGTTAAAAAATTCAGCAGATCATTATTTTTCACTACTTTTCTTATTGGCTGTTGTTTTGTTTTTTGTACCTATGGGACAGGAAATGGTTTTGTAAATCTGAAATAGACTTGCAGCACAGGATAGAGGTCAGGTCACACAGTCTCTGTATCATTGCTGGAAACGTTCCACATTGATAGAGTATTAATGCCAGCCTTGAGGATACATGTAACATTAATTAGACCTATTGCCTGAGGAAAGAGGTGAGTTGTGGAAGTGGCTTTACCTTAAAGTACAGTACAGTCTTACTTCCATTGATCGATCTGTCCCTCTACATGTCCTCAGAAAGACACACATCTAGCTGAATACCCTGGTGGCTGTTTCAGGCTACTACTCGAATGCTGCCAGCACACTGATATGCTATTTTCATCACTTTTTTCTTACAACGTTACTAATCGAAGTGAACTAGAGGAGATTGTAGCTATTAATCAGTACTGATCAGTCATTAGGGGTTGAGTCCTGTAATTAGTCTGCCCCTGTGTTATGTAGATGAACAGTTTTGATACCCATGCTGGCTTTCAGGGAAGGTCATCAGCAATTGTGTCCTTTGCTGCAATATGTCATCCACATTGCTGATTATGACTTCAGAGCTATTTGTCCATGCAACCCCAGCCATTAGTACTGCTATCTTACAGAAATTCTATATTGATTCTCTGATATATTTGTGAAGCTTGAGGACTTGACAACACTCAGGGGCTGCTTTTGGTACTTTGTGGTGGAACCGGAATAAATTTCTGGCACTGTTCCATTTTGCTGGCTGTTCTGTTAGACCTATGTATATTTTCATTGCCTTAGAGATATATACAGTGTTATTGAGAACCATGCACTGTCCCCATACTCATCCGCTTTGCAAATAGCTATGACTCTGAGCTATGCCTAATTAGATATTGCTGGCCACTTAATATGGTCTGTTTTGGAGATTCAATAGGACTTGATTGCTTTGATATTGATTTGAGTGAATTTGAATCTCAGCGACACCAGTTCTTGGTTAATGCTTAATGCTTTGAAAAATGATTATAAGATATCATGTTACACTTGAAAAGTTGTTTGAAAAGAACTTAACTGTCATTCAATTTCTATTGTGATAAAACTGATGGTGTTACAGTGGTTGATGACCTTGAGCTGTTTTGTTATGTTGGAAGATGAAATGAATGGCGATTTTTCAAATTTGGATGACAGTGCTGTGTGTTCCCAACAATCTTTACTCACTGGGTTATTTTGACTTCTGGACAGTTCATTGTATTGCATGTCAAGTACAAAATCAAATGTCGCTTCAGTTCCTGAATTAGATTGATTCTTGCACAGACACTTCACATAAACTGAATTGATTAAATGTAAATTGAACTGAATAGCTATTTTCCACGTATACATGCATGTACATGCGTGTACAGTAGTTTCCTTATTGTTATTTGTCAGCACTTCGTAATGCATAGTGTTGCAGGTCACATGCAAAATGTTTTGTTTCAATATTCATTCTTGTACACACAATCTAGACATTATCTAAACTGAAATGCAGCAGCTTGTGCTTGATCAAAATAAAATTGTTGGTTATGGAGCCATTGCATGCGACATACACAAGATACCATTGAATAGTAAACAGGTAATTACATAATCATGAAAATGTCACTGTGCTCTAATACAGAACTCTGTAGGGGCAGTGGTAGTCTGTCTCACAGTCCCTAAACCACATTAATTTCCCTACTGCCTAGCCCTCTCTGGAGTGCTAAAGCCCTAAATAAAGCAAGTCTAGATTTCCTCAGGTTCTGAATCTCTGGTCTCCCTTGGGCTCCTTTTCAATATAAATGGGCTTGTTTGATACTATCAAAATTATATATATTCAGAGACTAAGCCTTAGTCTAGGGCAGTGGGGTCACGCTGAACTCGTGATGTTCAATTTTTTCACATGGGTATAGTGTGTGTAGCCTATTTCTGGTGTCGTGATGTTGCTAAAACGGTGTAAAACCATGCCCACTTGCTCTCTCTCTCGTTCTCATCAAGGCTGAAATATTGCCGATGTGACGTTAAATCTTAACTCACTCACTCACTCACTCTCTCGTTCTCTCGTTCTCTCCCCCTCTCTCTCGCTTACTCACTTACTCACTGTATGATCCACATTATTGATGTTTTCTGGTGGTGCAGGAGTCAGGTGGAATGATTTAAAACATGCTGTGTGATAGAAGTCAGTCAACTATCCAATTAACATAACGGAACAGCCATGGTACATTAACAGATGACATGCATGTGTTCATTGTACAAGACATGTTGACAAGGAGTCACTTAATAACATTAACAATGTGGGGAAATAATGTCAGCAGATTTTTATTCAAGGCTGGTTAAAGTTGCTGTTGTATTTTACAGACTATGAAGTGTCTCAACATTGGTGCCCTGTCCAGAGCCACTGCCAGCACCAACATGAACGTCCAGTCATCGCGCTGCTCCCACGCCATCTTCACTTTGCACATCAAGCAGCACAGAATGGTCAAGGAGGAGGTAACCTTATATTTATGTCAGGGATGAGAATTTTCTGCGGACCCACGGAATTCTGCGGATTTGATCGCGCTGGGGTCATTGGATCTGGCATGGAGACCTTTGGCCCCCATGACCCCCCAGCTCATTTTCCTCTTTTATCACTCATACCCATTCTCATCCCTGTTATCTGTATAAGCCTAGGTTCTAATGAAGCATGGATGGACTATCACAGCATCATTCGCTCTTTTCCCTTTGTTTGCTCATGGGTGCTGGGGGTAGCCTAGTGGGTAAAGCGTTCGCTCATCGCTCATCACGACGAAGGCACGGGTTCGTCCCACATGGGTAAAATGTTTGAAGCCCATTTCTGTGTTCCCCGTTTGATATTGCTGGAATATGGGTAGCCGTAAATCAAACTCACTTACTCACTCACTAGTGGATGTCCCCACGAAAGCCTGTGATATTGCTGGAATATTCCCCACTGTAATATTGCTAGAGTATTGCTAAAAAACAGAGTAAAAACTCACTCACTCACTTTTGTCAGAATATGCTGATCATGTATTTGGGATTCCAGAGTTGTGCTGGTATTATTCTTAGATCATCTTACTTGGGAGAGGGGATCACGAAAGAGTTATATGTCTGCAAACCTGGTCACTTTAAGCAGTTGTCAAATTAGCCAAGCACGTAGTAATACAATAGGAGTACTGCTTAACCCAACATACTCTTGTCTTTTGTGATGAATGCATGCTATGATTCGGCCATTCTCGTGAACAACCATTCTTATGCTACCTGCTTATGACCTCACGTCAGAATATTGAAATACATAGTTAAATATTGATAATAAGGGAACTGCTACTATAAAGTCTGAAGTGTGTGGAGAGAGCAGGTGGTCGATGGTGTGAGTTTGTCATACCAAAAGACTTTAAAAGATGATACTTGTTTTTACCCTAAATCAAGGACTGTCTGTATACTGTGTCTGGGATATCCATGTGAAACTGTGGCATTTTAGCACACATATTGCTATATGAATGAAATAATTTGAAATCTTGATACACATGCGTAAGAGTATATTTGTCCCTTATGAAACTACATAATTTCTTTTGATCAATGGGGCGGTAAAGTAGCTTCATGGTTAAGGCGTTTTCTCGCAACGCAGAAGACCCGGGTTCGATTTCCCCACATGGGCACAATGTGTGCCCATTTCTGGTGTCCCCCGCCGTGACATTGTTGGAATATTGCTAAAGGCGACGTAAAACCAAACTCACTCACTCACTCACTCACTCTTTTGATCAATCAGGACCATGCTTTGAAACTAGTATGCAAGACTCCTTTCTTTGTTATAAGTAATGCAATATTTATGAGTCCAAAATCGTATGAGGCTAATGGACACATCTGGGTTTTGGTCTAACGGACTAATCTCACTGATTTCAGCCCTTGCTGGATGAGGGCAAGGACACCGACTCCACACAGTCCATCAATGAGTTCGAGACCCTGACCGCCAAGTTCCACTTTGTAGATCTGGCTGGGTCAGAGAGGTTGAAGCGAACTGGAGCGACAGGGGAAAGAGCCAAGGAGGGCATATCCATCAACTGTGGCCTGGTAGGGAAGGGTCTTCAGATCTCATTATTCAGCTGTGTGTTATTGTAGGTAGTTCATAGCTGATAGGTGTGTCACCTGTCATTCAGGCTTATGTTTTTCAGTAGTGGGACCAGTGTTCGAAATAATCGCCGGCCCGGAGGCCCAGTGCCGGTTGTTATTGTATCGGGCCGGCAGTTTCAAATACTTGCAGGCCCTGATGGCCTTCAGTAAATTATCTGTCGATTTTGTTTTCAACAGGAATTTGAGTTCATTCCACATTTCCAGTGTTGTACTGGTTATAATGACAGAATTAAACAGTGTTAAACTGTGTACAGTGTAGTCTATTTTGTTTTTATTGGTTTGACTGTAACAAAATGGGCCTGCAGATTTCATTCAGGGCCTGCAGATTTTAAAGCCTGCAGGCAGCTGCAGGCCCCGATTGCCAACTGACAAATTAAAGTCCATGTATTGCAAACACTGATTGGGACCCTGAATAAATCTGGTCTAGTAATTGTCTTAAAAAGGACCGCCATATAGCTGGAATATTGCTGAGCTTGGCGTAAAACTAAACTCACTCACTCACACTTAAGAAGGAAGACAATGGCGTAAGGATGTCAGAGTTGGAGCATGTGATTAAATCTTGATGGCTTAGAATGTTCTTCATAATATCCATCACTGGTTTGTCAGGTCCATACTTGGTTATTATAGGCCAGGGTGATATAGGGTGATATATACTACAGTGTTAAACAGCTTTCACTTAATTGAGACAGGTGGAGATATATATATTTCTTTTCAACTGCAGATGTTTATGCAGTCAGCATGGCCTGACAACTATATCATAATACGATCTGTTAAGAATCGGGTTAGAATTGGCCTTCAGTAACCCATGTTTGTCGTAAGAGGCGACTAACACAATCAGGTGGTCAGGCTTGCAGGCTTGGTTGACACATGTCATCATATCCCAATTGCTAGATTGATGCTCATGCTGTGATTATTTGGTCCAGTCTTGATTATTAAAGACCACTGCCATATAGTTTGAATATTGCTGAGTGCTGCGTTAAACAACCAGCCAACCAACCATTAATGCCATGTACATACATCAAGGGTATTATACCCATGCAGTTACCTTGTTAGATTTTGATGTTTATAAGTATGAGAAAGAGATGGCTTCTTAGTCATCAGTACTTACCAACAAATACCAGAGAGACATGAATTCTTCTTTATCTTGTTTCAGTTTGACAACTGTTTATTATTTAGTTGTTGATAATCAGTAATCTTACACAGACTTTCATTTTCAGCTTGCCTTAGGTAATGTGATATCAGCATTAGGAGACAAGTTAAAGAAAGGTTCACATGTTCCATACCGAGACTCCAAGCTGACAAGACTGTTACAAGACTCACTTGGTGGTAACAGGTGAGTTTCACTTCCAGGCAATGCTGCACAAGGTGCACAAGATTTTGACAGTTCTTACCTTCAACTCAGCAGTAATTCATTCTATATTTCATTTAAAACACTGTGAAGATTGAGGTTAGAATTGGTCTTCACCAACCCATGCTTGTAAAAGGTTGTGGTCAGGCTTGCTGACTTGGTTGATGCGTGTCATTGTATCGTACCTTCATGTGAAATACTTTAATTTCATTGGTTAATGACGCTTTAACAAGCTTCTGTGTCACCCCTCCCAGGAGGGTGACAACTACAAAAATATTACCTGCTGCCATGGTAACGGCCAAACTCTCTGCCGAGAAGCTGTATCGCTAACAATCGTAGTATGACATCATAATATGACGCATGCAGTGTACGGAGTTCTAAAGCCGTTCGATTAGCTGTTTTTTAGTTCACTGTGTACAGATTCATTTTACCGACTTTCAGTGCTTTATTTAAACTATTTTATACATTGAATGGTTGGCCCACTCAACTTAAACATAATTAACCATTTTAATTGCAGTGTTAACCTTGTCAGAATATGTTCCACTGATTTAAAAAATCTGTTCAGAGGGCAGATGCCATATTTTTTACATGTCATATACAATCTTTAAAATAAAATATAAAATGATAGTTTGTACATTTAACATGGCGGTAAGATAAATCATGTATGCTTCTCCCTCGATGTTGATCACTTTGGCATTGTCCCTTGCCTCCAGACTTGATTATTTACAGAGTGCTTGATCACTGGATTGTCTGGTCCAGACTCGATATTGCTGCCATAGTGGAATATTGCTTAGTTAAGCAACAACAAACAAACAAATTTCATTTCCAGACTTTCTATTTATTATAATCTTGAAAAATTCAAAATATTGAATGGTCCAGTGTTTGAAACAAGCTTCTGTCTGCAGGTGGATCTTGTGTTCATCCTGTAGTTTCAAAGTTGTATAGATCCTTTCGGCCTGCTGTACACCATGTCAATTTATTTGTCACAATAGGTGTCCCTTTGTAAGTGGGGGCTTGAAGAGCTTATTCAGGGCTTATACCTTCTAAAGTCTGTGGTCTCTGATGGGGAAATGGCATGTTCTAAATTTCAGTTTAAATTCATGTCAACACAATTCCCCAAACTCCATCTCCATTGTATTGTAAATCAATTGGTAGTACTTTAATCAACTCATCTTTCTCATTTCAATTCAGTCGCACTCTGATGATTGCCTGTATTTCCCCGTCTGACCGCGATTTCATGGAGACCCTCAACACACTGAAGTACGCTAACCGTGCCAAGAACATCAAGAACAAGGTGATCGCCAACCAGGACAAGGCCAGCAAACAGATGGCTGCTCTACGGACGGAGATAGCCACCCTGCAGCAGGAGCTTATCGACTACAAGGCGGTAATGTATTTAATGGAGCACTTTAGAATGTTATTATTATATTTGTTGTTTTGAAGTATCAATACAGACTGCCATTTTTTGAGACAGACAGAATTTCTAAGTCAAGTCAAGTTTCTTTCTGTCATATACGTTGGTGATAGCTATAGCCTGTAGTGTGTATCTACAACTAAAGAGAAGTTCATGACAATGTGACCTGTGAAGATCGGGGTTAGAATTGATCTTCAGTAACCCATGCTTGTCGTAAATGGCGACTAATGGGATCGGGTGGTCAGGCTCGCTGACTTGGTTGAGACATGTCATCGTATCCCAATTGCGTAGGTCGATACTCATGCTGTTGATCACAGGATTGTCTGGTCTAGATTCGATTATTTACAGACCGCCTCCATATAGCTGGAATATTGCGTAGTATGGTGTAAAACAAAAATCACTATAACTCACTTGTGAAAATGTGTTTCTTTCATGTTGCCGTAGTTAGTCTGTTGTTGCATATCAGGCTTGTCTTCGCTGACAGTGTTAGGGGTGATGATTGTTGCAGGGCAAGCTTGTTGTTGGTTCTGATGGTGTGGGGAGCATGAGTGACTTGCACCATGAGAACAACATGCTACTGATGGAGAACGACAAGCTGCGCCAGAGAGTGAAGGCTCTGAACGACACGGTGGAGACAATGAAGGCCAGGAACTCTCAACTACTGGCAGAGAAAGCCGTTCTTGCCGTCACAGGTGCTAATGGTACGTCACCCACATTTGTATGGTTCAACAACATCAGAGCTGATTGCACAAAAATAAAATAAAATGCAGATGATTTTGTATTGTTCCCTGTGTCATTTCTGGTCAAAGTTGAGAGTGTTGGCCCAATGGTCAAAGGTGCTGCAACTCATTGGGCGGTGTGGTAGCCTAGTGGATAAGTGTCCGCTCGTCACGCCAGACACCTGGGTTCGATTCCCACATGGGTACAATGTGTGAAGTCCATGTATGGTGTCCCCCAATGTGGTATTGCTGGAATATTGCTAAAAGTGGCAGATTTTGTTTCAAGGTTTGTCAGTACCAACCCATGCTCAGGGGTTTCTTGAAAGTGGTATCGACTGATACCAATGTTCTCCTGGGCTTCCTCCTCTCACATCAAGCTGACATGCATGACATACTACAACTGGAAGTGGGGCATTGAACACAACTCACTCTTGGTTATTTTGCTTAGACTGATAATATGTTTCATCTCTTTACAGGAGAGACGTCAAATGAGGAGGTGACCAACTTGATAACTGGTTATGTGAAAGAGCTGGAGGATCTGAGGTGAATACCATCAGCTGTCAAAGTGAACTGAAACCTACTGATACTCTTACAATAGTTAATGATATGTCCTTGTTGAATGAATAGTCAAATGAGTACCTACTCTTGATAAAATACCAGCTGCATCCCCAGACCACTAACCTAATATATGAAACCTCATTATATTGGTAGAATATTTATGAATGGGTCTTTGAACCACAGTCACCCTGTCAGATAGTAATATGTCTGAATGCTGAGTTAAACAGATATAGAGTACCTATGCTTCTTAGTACATGGTGTAAGACTCATCCTCAGTCATCAAGGGTTTTATTTCATTCTGTAAAATAAACACACTGGAAGCTCCTTTAGCGTCCTTCATTACTTGTAGCACTGCTTATTTGGAATTAGGCACAGAATGCGAGTGTGCTGATGAATGGGTCCATGTTTGTGTTTATTGTAACAGGAAAATAATTTTGGCCTCTGGTATAGTAGATATCTTGCTAATTGCCTGTATTTGATATAAGAATATGTGGTTTCTGTTTTCAGGGCCAAACTAGCCGAGTCATCAGCTATGGTTACTCATGCCCAGAAATATTCTGTGCGTAGTCCGTCTCGACTGATGGTCAGTCCCATGTCCACCACATTCCCATCGTCTGGGGGGTTCGACTACCCCCTATCCCCTGACAACAGTGTCATGGCTCTCATCGTGGAGGCCAAGAAGGATGTCAAGAAGCTCAAGAAAGTCAAGAGGTCCAAGTCAAGGCAATCTAATCAGGGGTAAGTGATGGAAACCTTGAAGCTCCACAATTTTCTCTGGGATTCCAGTTCAGGATGGATCACCAATACCATAGGCTAGTTGTAAGTGTCATCTGTAATGAGAATGTAGAGGTTACACAGAGCTCCAGATAAGTTTTAGCTCATGTGGGTACTGTACCCACTGTAGATTTTTGGAGTGGGTCTTATGAATGTTGAGTGGGTATTTCATTTTCAGTTACCCACTGCTTACGAATATGTGCGTATTTCCGTCATTTTACTCACCTAGGTATTATGTCATTGAGTAAGTTTACTAAGCAGGTATGTCCTGCCTTTTATCATACCTAATCAAAACCAACTTAAATATAATGGAAATGATTTCATAAAAAAATCACTTATCCAATACTGACAGTACAACACTAGTCCTATACTAACAGTACAACTTGATAGCAATCGATGTCTTTTTCATTACGCAAGCGATTTTATATATATATTCTGTATGCATTTGTTTTAAACTTTTTGCGTATCTAACATTTTCAATGCGTAATTGGTACGCGACAATTATTTTTCAATGCGTAATTGGAAATTTTCTACGCGTATTTTACCCGGATACGCAGCTTATCTGGGCCTCTGGTTACAATGTGTGACCTGGCTCACTGTGTATATTTCTGTCAGGTATTAGTGCTGATGCTTTCAACCACTGGATGGCATAACCCAGACTCGATTGTTTACAGATTGCCATCATATGACTGGAATATTGTTTAGTGTGGTGTTAAACAACACACAAACAAAAAACATTTACCTCGAATGTCATGTCCTTGTCTGATGTATGAAAAAAAAAAAACCTCAAAAATGTTCTTCTTAATTCTTTAATGCATTGGGGCTCCTGCTACCCTGGGCAGGAGTCCCTATATGTAACATGGATTTCTGTAATAGGAAGAGCACTGTCTTCATTAAGGAGAATTGACTGAATGTATGTTTTGTAATCAGGTCAACAATAAATATCTAACCAGATAGAGATTTTGTAATGAATTCTTCCTGCTTCCAGCAGTGATAAAGAGAATGAGGGTGAAGAAGGGGGAGGTGAGATGCCAGCAATGCCGGAGGGCAAGGAGAATGGGGAAGAAGAAGTAGGGGAAGTGGAGCATGAGGAGAGTCAGGAGAAGTCAGAGGATGAGGAGGATGACGAAGAAGATGTGAGTATCCTTCTTTTGTTTAAGACAGGAAGTAGATGTGGGCCTGCTTCATCAAAGTACTCTAACATAGTGTTTGGGCTAAAGCTACTCTGTGGAACAAGGCTCTGTACGTTAAGCCTTACCATCTTTCACTGTCAACAGTGTTCAGAACACTGGGAATATGTACTATTCACACTTTTCTAAGAATCAAATCATTGATTCAACAGAAAACTATGATGTGGGATCTAATTTGGTTTAATAACCAAGCTTATTGTAAGCATGGATCCTAGGTTTCAGTATGTCACTGCATCTTGTGGATCCCATGCCTGCTATTGACAGGTGCTGTGTACTTGTCAATGACTCGTTCCATGATTTGCAAAATGGTTGATTGGTGCCATGAAAACCATTTTTATGGTTACTCATGCATCAAGTGCATAAGGTTAGATTAAAGTGGCTGTTTGCCTAAAGAAGGATACCATATTATTATTTATCCAGTTTTAAATTGATACAATTTCAAATTATAAATCTATGTTTAAGTAAAGTTTGGGAATTGTTCTTATCCTTAGCAAAGTGTGTGTAGTATATTAAAGTGGATCTATTTTTTTGCAATTAACCATAGTGGTATCGTTTGTATTGAATGATAAAAACAACATTTCATGATTTCAAACAACATTGACTCTGTTGTTGTTACTATTATTCTGTAGATTGAAGACGATGATGAAGAAGACACAACTGAAGATGAAGTAAGCTCTTCTGAATCCGACTCCGAAGATAAAGGTATGTATTTTAATGTGGTAGACTCTGTAGTTTACAAAGTAGTTGATTGATATTAACAATTAATACCAGCACCAATCTTTCTGAATCTTATATAAGGTGTGAGACCATCACATTCGTAGAATTATAAAAAGATATTGAACAATTAAAGCCGGCTTCAAATTAAGTGCCTATCTACTCAAGAGAATTGTAACAAGAATGAATCTTAACCATGTTTTATGGGTGGATATATATATCAGCAGTAATAATTGTAAGAATGGAGTAACATTTTCTTAACAGTTGAACTTTTCCTGGATTATGGTCGCTTCTGGTCAGGTAGAGTTGTCTCCCCTGTGCTTTTCACAGTCAGAATATATTTCCTACCAGAATCATGTCCCATACTACAGTGGCCAACATAGTCTATGTGTTCGAGAGAAGTGATAATATAACGTTGTTAATACTTCAAGATTTGTATGTTCTGCATTCCTCCAAAATTTGTAAATACAGTGAAGAAATAAAGGGTGCATCTCTATGTATGAATTTAGTGTAAACTCTTACCTGGCACTGAAAATTGTCAGGCATATGGCTACAAAGGGTGGCAAGAAATATATTTCCATTTGTACAACCAAATCTAAATGCTCATCTGTTCGAGCACTTGACCGTTTCCTCTTTCCGGTTTCCTCATTCTGGAATTGTCCATAGCTTGACTTGAAAATGGCCACTACACCACAAAGTATTCACTGTGATTGAGGAATGTCATTTATACAAACATGTTGTCAGAGTAGAAAATGTTTGGACAAATAGTTCTTCACACATACAGATGTATTCAAGAATATGTGGGTTAGAAATGAAAGGATTCTTGGTAAGTCAGTAGCCCAAGACTGATTTCCGTTTGAAAATGGTAGGCATTTTGGAAATCTGTCACAGCTCTTGGCTTTTTGCTCCTGGTGTCGTCATGGAAATTGTGTATATATTCTTGTTCAAGGCTACATCTTTATTAAAGACATCAATGTTTTCGTTAAAACAAACTGTTATTTTGTTAAGGCATGTTGGCCACTGTATTGTGTTTGTGAATTTGTTCAGTGCATTCATTTCATTTCTGCACCCTCAAACTTAATTTCTGATAATATACCACTGTGGTCTGTCATTCTGAGGACATTTGATTTTGTGATGAGAAGGATCTGTTATGGTGTGTGTGTGTGTGTGTGATATGCTGTGAATGTACAACTTCTGGTTTTCTGTCTCTATGTTGAGAAATTCATAGTAATATTTTGTTGAAACTGTAACCAATAGTTTACGACTTTGCATGTTATTTCTTTTCAGAGTAGAAAGTACCATGTTACACATATCAGTATGAACCATTTAGTAATATCATAGTAAAAAGGCTTTGTCCAACTTTTGAAAGTTTTGTTTGTAGACAAACATGGAGTTGTCATAGCTTTAGTGAGATTTCATAATCCCGAATGACCATCCATTGATCAGTTGAATGTGCACTCAAAAATAGCATTAACGTACTGTGGCACAACTGGTAATTGTTAACTGGCCACATCTGCTTCAAGACCCCGACACCAATGTCATTGCTTAGTACGCAGTGCACAAACCACAGCTGAAACAAACCATACCTACAGCAACCTGTCACCAAAGATTAACTGATGTCCATATCAATAATTGCTCCAAACCTTACCATTGAACTCATGATTGTTGTCATGATTCCATTGCTTTTGTCATACCATACTTTTGTTATGACGTTCGTAATACCTGTAAAATGGTGATAAATGGAGATTCTTTTGAATATGAGGCATGAATACATGACAATATATTTGATAATAATTGATAAAGAATATTGTACATGTCTTTTTACTTGTTATTTTTTCGTCATGTAGAAGTCTGTTTCAAAATGTTTCAAAATGCACTGAGTCATTTTAAATACTTAAAATAGCAGGATAGCATTACTTTAAGATGTTCAGAATTGATTAAATCATTTTAATCTTTTTCAAGATACTGTATGTAAGTAAGTATGTATGAATCATTTAACTGGCCAGGAATTGTTGTATTGGTATTCTGCTGTTCCTAGACTCGGACCACATCCATGAGGACCTGGCTGAGCTGACCTGTGAGATCACCATCAAGCAGCGCCTTATAGAGGAGCTGGAACACAGCCAGAAGAAGGTCCACGCCATCAAGCAGCAGTACGAGGAGAAGGTGATACAGCTGCAGCAGCGCATCAAGGAGACGGAGATAGAGAGGGACAAGATCCTATCTAATGTTGGTAAGTTGAGGACGAGATCTTATTGAGTGGTGGTAAGTATAGAGGGTCTCGTCTGAAGCAGTGTTGGTTAGTTGAGAGGGACAAGATTCTATCCAATGTTGGTAAGTTTAGGTGGACAGGATCCTAGTAAATGTTTGTAGGTTGAGATTGATGAAATCCTATGCAATATTGGTACAGGGGGACACGATCCTAGTCAATGTTGTTAAGTAGAGATGGACAAGGTAAGTAAGCTTAGAGACACAAGGTCCAAGGCAATGTTAAGTTAAACACGACAATGTCCTCTTCAATGTTGGAAAAGTTTTGGAAAGATGATAATGTTGACTGCTGCATTAAAATATACACTCACTCACACACTGTCTGCTGATTGGCCACAGGTCAGCTGGAGTCGGTGTCCAATGAGAAGCAAAAGAAGGTGAAGGATGAGTTTGCAAAGAAGCTGGGAGATCTGCAGATGGAGCTGAAGAAGATGCAGGCTGCCAAACGGGAACATGCCAAGATGGTGCGCAACCAGAGTCACTTCGAGAAGCAGCTCAAGACACTGCAGCACGAAATGCAGGAGATGAAGAAGACCAAGGTTGGTTCACTGGTCATAATGAAAGCTAGCACTGTAGTAACTTGTCATGTAATAAGCCCCAGATCTTCTGTCTGATTTTAAGAACAATTTACACTAGTAATACTGAAACAAAATGGATTTAAGTCTTTTGTCTTGGGCTAAGTGCAATCGTTAGATTTTATATTCTTTTGTTGGTTTATGCTCTTGTAAATATGTAAATTTGTGGTGGATAGATAGACTTATGACATAAGTTATATTTGGGATTACACTTTCTTACTAAAGTACAGATTCTAGTACTTTTGTTGGGTTCAGTCCCATCCGGGATTCGAACCCACACCCTCAGAGTCAGGCACCTAATCGCCAGCACACAAAGTCAGCCGCCTAACCCACTCAACCAACCATGACTTCCACTAAATGGCATTGTCTAATCATAGCTTTGTGTACCCCTCTGATAATAAGTGGCACAGCTCCCATGGCCCATGATTACACAATGCCATTAGAAAGTGATCAAAGTAACATGTTATATTTGGGATTTCACTTTCCAGTTGTCTGACTTTCATTTTATGGGTTGAGTCCCATCTGGTTTTCATTTTGAGAAAGTTAAGTGGTCTAAGGTGTCTGACTTTGTGTGCTGGCGATTAGGTGCCTGACTCTGAGGGTGTGGGTTCGAATCCCGGATGGGACTGAACCCAACAAAAGTACTAGAATCTGTACTTTACTAAGAAAGTGTAATCCCAAATATAACATATGTTACATTTGATCACTTTCTAAATGGCATTGTGTAATGATAGATAGACATGTTTTACGCCGCTCGTAGCAATATTCCAGCAACATCACGGCAGGGGACACCAGAAATGAGCTTCACACATTGTACCCATGTGGGGAACCCGGTCTTGGGCTACCCCACCTCCCCACTTATGTTGAATGGGTTTTAGTAATAGAAATTTGAAAAATCAGGTGATTGCTATCTTGAAGGAGTTGCTCAAATCCATTTATTAAGCCATTATCATGGTTTGTCACATAACAACAGTATATCTATTGAGTATCATTTTTGGCAGGAAAAAAGTTGATGAATGAAAAATTATTGATAAACTACTTTGTGGAATACCTATGTGGACTCCAGGGGAGAATAGGTCATCTGTTTGCCATAGTTTCCATAAGTGTTGGCTCAATGTTGTTCATGATATCAACGGGGCGGTGGGGTAGCCTAATGGTTAAAGCGTCCGCTCGACATGCTGAAGACCGGGTTCGATTCCCCACATGGGTGCAATGTGTGAAGCCCATTTCTGGTGTCCCGCCACCTCCGTGATATTGCTGGAATATTGCTAAAAGCGGCGTAAAACTATACTCACTCACTCACTCATGATATCAACCACTTGTACACCTGGCCCAGATTACATTCAGCAGGCTGCTATAGCCCAAACCTTGGGGAGTAAAACAATTTTCGCTCACTCAATGACTCCTAGGTGCGACTGATGAAGCAGATTAAAGAGGACGGTGAGAAAAACAAGCAGAGTGAGACGCGCAGGAACAAGGAGATTGCTCAGATGAGGCGTGAGTTTACTCGAAAGGAGAACCGGATCAGAAACCTGGAGAGAGAAAAGAACCAGAAGGAGCAGGTGTTGAGGCGGAAGCAGGAGGAGGTAGAGGCGCTGCGGAAACGTCAGAAACCCCTGTCTTCCCGTGCTGCTGGGCGCATCGGCAAATATGAAAAAGCACCCACCATTCCAATAGGTACACACATCTCTCTTTTGTTAGATGTAAATACCTCCAGCAATCACTGGCCTAAACATTTAGGCCAGACTTTTATTACTTGCAGGCTGCTTTCAGATAGTTGGAATATTGCAGAGAGACACATTAAACTGAAAACACTGATTGATGCTAACTTATTACTATTAGGTTGTACTGTATGTATAAAGTGATATACACTGATACGTCTCATATTATTTCAGACCCTATATCTACCTCATCACCACGAAGACGAAGAAGAAATGAATTTTCTCCTAAAGCTGCTAAACAAAAATGGGACATTATAGAGAAGAATGTAAGTACTTTTCTTTTATAACCTATGCATAATAGCATAACAATTATAATAGTACATATTGATAGATTGAGCAATCAGGCGATGTGACTACCTATCTTATCTTAACCAGATGATCTGGTTCTTTGTTCATGACATCAATCACAGGATTTTCTGTTCTGGGCCCACTTGCACAGAACGATCTTAGCGCTACAATTATTGTAATTCCTTAAGATCGCGATCTTAGGCTTCGGTTACAATCGCCATCTACTTGCACAAAGCAATTGTAGGCTAAGATTATTGTAAGTTACAATCGAAACTTACAATTGGTCCGGACCAATTGTAAGGAGCTAAGATCATTTTAGTCATTTTAGAAATGGCATTCAAATTAGTGTCTGTTTCACGCAAATAATCAGCTTTACGTTTGGAGATTGCATTTATATTGCATGAAACTGTGTGGTTCGCCTCGACATTTCAACAACACGGAGAATGCACAACTGATTTAACGTCGGGTACATTTTTATTTACTGTAGTGAAACACATAACTATCGAGTCGACATCACATAGTACTATTCCCACCCGATTCAATGTTGGAATAAGTGTGAAACAACATACCTTTTTGATTATCAAGGAAAGGATAGTAACGAAAGGTGTCTGCATGCGATTAGCAATGGCCGTGACCTTTTCAATAACTCAAGGGCAGCTAATCTTAGTGTTTACGCAAGATGGGAGTGGTTTCCCTTGGCATGTTATGCCGCCGCCGTTGACTCTGCCATGTCCAATGCATTTAATGTTGTGACATCGCAGATCTCCACATATATTTTTTACCAGTCACATTTGTGTCTTTGAATTTGTCTTAGTTCATAATTTAAAAAATCTACAATTAGATAACGTGCAAAATCAAGTTTCTTTCTCATTTCTAAATATAACATTGAGTCTGACGAGAGACGTGGGTTTTTAATATATGCATTTTAGATATAATACAAGTATTCATCAAACAGGAAAATACACTTGCTAACGCTTTTGAAATTTGTATAAAAGGAATTTCACAATGAGAAAAATAATTATCAATGAAACAGGGTTAAATAATTAACATACTTTGAATAAGTATTTAACAACACATACTACATGAACGAAATATTTATTATTCAAATTTCCCTGTCATGCATTTTCCACAACCCTCCCGTAGTCATGTCACCTTTTCATATCTTTACAAAATTAATACTTGTGGGATATATTTGGGGTTTTACACCAAATCCCCCATACAGATGCATATTAAACAATGTCTCATTGGCAACCACTGGCAAACCACACATTTAGGTGCTATATCATAAGGAAATTTTATTTATATTTTGTTTTAATTTTCATAATTATTAAGTCACTAAATTTAGAAACAAATTTATTAGGTTTTTTTCATATTTCAATATTTTCAAAAATCATGGGTAGGTATTTCTGGATTTGCAATGTCACATGCTTTGTTCATAAATCAAGACCGTTAGAATGTAGAAAAATGTGTGTTATCTTCACGTAATCGTTTCCTATAAAGATTTGTGGGATTTTTTTTCATGAAAATTCTGCAAGGTGTGATTGAGGGAGGTATGTGTTGTATGCAGTAACCAGTTCCACTCTTTACTTGCGCAGCATGCTATGCACATTTGCAGACAACTGTAGACAGGTGTCGAGTTCAAGACATTCCTACCTCCACCGTTGAAGAGTTCGATCTTAGCTAAGATCGCGATCTTAAATCCATGCCGTCTTACAATCGCTCTAAGATCAGCTTTGTGCAAGTGGATTAGGGCAATTGTATGTTGATTGTAAAGTTGATTGTAGTGGCCTAAGATTGATTGTAACTAAGGTTGTTCTGTGCAAGTGGGCCCTGGACTCCATGCAACAAACACAAAACATTCATTGAAATGTAAGGAACAGTTTCATGTAATCATCAGAAGTGCAAATGAACAAAAATACTGATGGTGGTGCATATTCAAACCCCTTTAATTCTATGTACGGACACCTCATACTCGAAATAACTCGCCTTGCTCTATAAATGCTTTTCTCCTTTTTTTTTGAAAATTTATTGCAAGGACTATTCTGCCTCTATTCCTGTTGTCAATGTGTATGTCTTGGGTTACAGGGTCTGATGCTGTACTTTAATCACTTGTCTGTTCCAGGTTGGATCTGTGATAACAAAACGTCAGACGATATCTCACATGGAGAAGGACATGGATGTCTGGCTGAAGGTAAGACTCCTGAATCTTCTGTAGTCTGTTCAATCTGCCAAAGATGTCTATCAGAGTTAACTAACTAATATGAACTCCCACAACAATCATTTATTGATGCTTCCAATATGGATTCATCCTGTATTTAAGAGAACAATAGTTTGATCAGTTATTTTTGTTCATTATATTTGAGATATTTTAAGAGATATATTAATGATTCAATATGTATAGTCCGTTTGGCTAAAAAGCGGACCGATGAATTGCAATCTAACTCGAAAACTAATAAACATAACATACTCAATGAAACGCTGATCATAATCAAAACATCATACCCACTCTGTGAGGTTTTTGCAGAATTTTTGTCCTAAAAATAATAAAGTTGTTTTACAAACTTTGATTTAAATAATGACACAGTTCACTGTTTGTTATGAGGGAGGAGTGCAGAGAAAGGGACAGCCAGGTGTTCGAGAAGCACGTTCACAGACAAAGTTATTTATTCATTTACCTGTGCTGTGCCGTCTCCATCCGTTCTCGAACACCTGGCTGTCCCTTTCTCTGCACTCCTCCCTCGTAACAAATAGTGAACTGTGTCAACTGGGTAACCCAAACTGTGGGTCCCTTCAAAATAATGCTGGATTTGCCCATGCTTACTTTCTTCATGTGCTATTGTTTTATTATTATGTATTAACTTCCAGCAAAGGGAGAAGTTAAGCAAGAAGCTGGAGAAGTTTGTCAAGAAAAGAGATTCCTACATTGCACTTCAGAGGGTATGTCGTGGATTCTGTAGTCTTTTGAAAGACCTTGCAGTAGCTCACCGAATTTGCACACTTTTTGCTGGATTGATAAGCTATCAGTCTTGGTCTGTAACTGTCCTGTGTTTGAGTTGCATCAATTCAGAAATGTATGCCATCTTCATTAAATTGGAAGTAAAGACATACTATTAAAGTATTATTGGGCTCTCTTGTTTTCATTAGTCATTCAAACTTTGAATCTTTCAGAACATGAGGTGAGGTGAGGTGAAATTGGGTTTTACGTCGTGCTTGAGAATACTTCGCTCATATGACGACGTGCATGTGTGTGTATGTGTATGTGCGGCTGCTTGTACTAGCCCAGACTGAAGCTGGTTTTATATAGTGCTAGCCCACTGACATACCATGCCGCAGTGAAGCATGAATACCCCACTCAGACACATTATACTGACTCCGAGCCGACCAGTCCTTGTTGTACCCATTAAAGCCGAGCGCCAGGCAGGGACCAACAAGTACCCTATTTTAACGTCTATTTTTCCTTATCCTGACTCATGCTCTTTTTGCTTGTCTTCTTCTTCTTGCGAACATAGTGGAACACTTGTATCTCCCTAATTGAAGCTCCCTTCAATTTAAAATCACTAATTAGTATTCACCACGAGTTACCTCCTTTCCATAAGCTGGCGAACCAGGGATTTACTCCATGTCGCGACTCTCTCCTTCTTTCGCCCAGTGAGCTGGGCGTGAGGCGCCTGTGTCTCCCGACACACTATATCCTTTGTTTTATATTTAGTTAGTTACCCTCGATAGACATCTATAGAGGTTTAGCTAGTATCCTTCAACGATTATATATTGATATTTAGTCGTTTTCTACAGTTTATTCACGGGGACGCCGTGTTTGTTTCAAGGGATTACGTTGATGAAAATTCTGTACTATTGCAGATTACGTTTTTATGCTGCTGCTGATCCACCTTTAATATGATGTACGGTACCATGTTTATTATAATCACACTGCAGTTGGGCGGTACTAATTTATCAATTCTACCTTTTTATTAATATTTACTGCGTTTGGCACGCACAGCAGATAGGTCGCGATGCAGAGTCTAGTATGATTGATACACGGAACCCTCGCCAGTCTACTGCTGTTGGCCGACTCCTCCCGTGTGGTGTTCGCTAGAGTGGTGGAGAGGTGTGGGACGTAGTCCGCCATCTCAAGAAGCATCCTGCTTTCCAGACATCCCATCGCCGCAGCAGAAGACTAGAGGGTTTTTCTACTACATCTCAACAACCGGAGACCGTTCCCATCGAAAGTTTTGGGCCTGTATGATGATCAGCCGGTCATCATACCGGTTGTACATCAAAGATTGACCGATGTCGGCACAGATCAGCATGCAGCCTGATGTACCAACGCGCCAGATATGCGATGATCGCGTCCTGAGGGTCCCATCATTTACCAACACTCAACGCAGACGTCGCGCACACCCAGGGCAGCGTCCGACCTCTGAGGGAAAATCAACGAAGTCTACTAGGACTTTCTCAACCGAGATTGTTCCAAACCGATGACCTGGACTCTACGATGATCAGCTGATCATCATCCCGGCGACGCCACAAGAAAGCGACGGTGATTAGCTACAACGACATCAGCAGAGATCACCATGCAGCCTGATGCCTCTACACTGATGTCGGACGATTTTTCCGGTGGACCCTCCATTAACACCGCCAGATAAAGCACTGACGCACCTCGCCGCGAGACCATCCCAGAAGACATGATGCGACAAATTATGAACATCATGGAGGACCAATATCTGCGGTAGCAGGGTCCGAAGCCGGCGAAGGCTCCAAGCGTGACAGCACCCCAGAGGCACCCCGTCAACGTAGCAGCCAGGGACGATGTCACCTTCGCTGGAAGGAAGTCGCGGACCACCTTGGACGGCGACCTAGATGTACAGCCAGCGAAGGCCTTGGCATGGAAAGGACCTAGATGTACAGCCTTGGCTAAGGCGAAAGAACCTAGATACAGCCTTCGCGAAGGACCGGCGAAGGCAGGATAGATCATCACCTTATGCGTTTCATCCCTAGATGTGGACTGGGACCATCAGACATGACGGAAGCCTTCGCGAAGGTCATATCGTCGTTCTCCCGGACCGGACGCAGAGGAAGCTTCGCGAAGGCATACGCTGAAGGACACCTGAATCCAGATCATCATCATCTAGAAGGACATCGAGGGGACTATACAAGAGCTTAGCGAAACTATCAGCGTTCCCCTCACAAGTCTCCAAGAAGATCAACCCATAGACAAGTTGATCATCGATATCAAGTATAAGAACTACAATCGTATATTGGTTCTGTTGAATCCATGACGAGACGTATGTTCGCTGGCCTAAATAGATCTAGAACGATCAATTAGACACTTATCACCAGACTTCGTGAACACCGACTTCTGAATATAAGATGATCCATGCGGCCCTACTTAGGCATGGTTAGCCACGATCCCACATCCTGTTAAACACAGAGGCTGTTCGACGGCAAGCTCATATATATTTATATATATATATATATACTAATCGGCTTTGATTCGACACCTTCGCGATGGTCGCGAAGGCTAAAGTGGCTCCAAGTCTACTTCACCCAGAAGATCTAGAAGGGATACTTCGGAGAACTTCGCTAAGTCTCGGCGCTCACCGAGGAAGTCTCTCCTCCAAGGTTTCCATATACTAGCCACTTTCGTCATATATAGCTACTTCGTCAGTCCGCTTCAAGACGCCGCATAAGTTGATTATCAACTGTATGCCAGATGCCGCCTATAAGCCTACGCGAAGATAATTGCTTAGGCTATTTACAACACAGAACGCCGCTGTATTATTAGTCAACGACATTTCATAGATCTTCACAGAAATCAACTATTCGTGATAAATTGCTAATATACAATCCCGGACGACGATACGATTATCTACATGCGTGACCATTACATATCTGCAGACACAATTCAATATCGAGGTGAACAGCAGCCTTGTTACAGCGCAGTATAACTCTTAATCGTCAAAGTTTCTGAGAAGAAATATGTACAACAAGTTCAACGTTAATTCTACAATTATGACGATACATTCATGTATTACAGTCTACAAGCTCACAACTTGCAAGTTGTTTATACCCTTATATATAAGGAAGTCGGAATTATATTCAAACTGAAATTATTTTCACGACAACCAGGAAAATAACCTACCCAGCATAAAATTTACAGAGCGAGATATTTCATACCGGAGGTTTCAGCAGCGGTTACCATTAACCCTAAACACGTGGTCACTCGGATAACTTCGGGAAGCTACGGTGAAGACCGACGTTTATGCTAATATCAACGCATTCGACAAGAATTTATTCAAGGTGGGTTTTTTCCCGCTACACCGGTGACATCACAGCTGGTATTTATACAGAATCAAAATGCCTTGTTCTGATTGGTCCGCTGAGGGACAACGACCTACACAGAGGTCGATCTCTGTTCACAGTTCAAGACTTACGCCACAAGTGACAACTATATATCAGTGAACGAAAGCAAGCCTCATTACAGTCCAGTTAACCTGAACATTGATTAGACTGCCTTTCTTCAAGTTTGAGAGACCTCCCTGTCAAGTTAAGACGAGGGATCGGCAGTCAGGCGCATTTTACATAAAGTTCAACGAGGACAGACACACCTGGTTGTTGACCTACATCGCCAAGGATTTCATGAGCCAATTACCTAGAAGCGAAAGATACAAGTGGATCTAAATCCACAGCGTTTGCCAGACTACAGCTGAATTTCATCAGCGACTAACACAACTAGATGGTTAGTAAACCTACTAAACTTCTGTTTGGAGAATAAAACGGAAATTTCACGCCCAACCTGGGATATGAATATAGTGCTCAACACCTCACAAGTGAGGTTTATGAACACGCCTGGATGACATACTTGGACCCCATGATACGACGATGATTCTATCAAGATGGCCAGCAAGAGCACTGTAAATTTATCTCCACCAAACCAAACAGGAGGAAAAATGCAACAGATTTTTCCTCTATCATCAACTTTACGCTAGAGTGAAGTCTCGGTAGTACTATATCTCCATTTGGATCAGAACTGTCATTCAGTGCATATGCGGATGGACCTATTCCACTCGATCCCTCCATGAGCTTAATACTCATGATATTATAGCGCTAACTTCTAGAATTGTTCTACACAAATGTGATTGAAATAATGGAGGGTTTATTTCTGGAAATCCGATATGGTGGTTGCAAACCATTATCTGAGAGATATCACCACCGAGGGACGCCTCAGGTATACACCAATTGATCCCATGGTCCTCTATGACAACAGCTGACAGTTCTCGGAGAAGATAAGTCAATCTAACAGATTTTTACTTATCTTATAACAATACTAAATAGCTTCATGCTATATATAATTTACTTAAGTTCCTTTTATCATCACAGTACTATGATTATTACATCATACAATATATAAGTTAACAACTCTACAGAGTTTGTTATTATATATATTTACCTTAAGTTATTCATATCTTAAGAGTAATACTATGGTTACATGATAAATGCATTAGCTAACAAACTCTACAGAGTTTTGGCTATTTTATACATAGCTTAAGTTAATTAAGCTAACAAACTCTACACGGAGTTTTACTATTATATAGGTAACTTAAGCTAATTATACCTTAAGCATAGTACTATACTCATATTATTAAAATATATTGGCCAACAAACTCTAAGGAGTTTTGCTATTATATAGGTAGCAAAGCTTATTCATATCTTAGAAAGCTTAAGTACTATGTTTATATCATATAAGTAGATTAGCTAACAAACTCTAAAGAGTTTTTTGCTATTTGGCTTAAGTATCATCATATTTCTAAGCAATATGGTTATATTATAACATGTATTAGCTAACAAACTCTACAGAGTTTTAGCTATTATATATGTAACTTAAGCTTATTCATATCTTAAAGCATGAGTACTATGTTTATATCATATAGGTATATTAGCTATCAAAACTCTAAAGAGGGTTTTGCTATTATATATTTCGCTTAAGTTTTCATCATATTTTAAGCTTTATGGTTACATTATAACATGTATTAGCTAACAAACTCTCACGGAGTTCTTGCTATTATATATGTAGCTTAAGTTTTCCTTCATAAGCTCAATACTAGGTTTATATCATAGCCAACAAACTCTAAAGGGTTGTTTTGGCTATTATACAATTAGCTTAAGTTTTCATCATATCTTAAGCAGTATGTTTACATTATAAGAGTATTAGCTAACAAAACTCATTGTCGAGTTTTGTTATATATATATAGCTTAAGTTTCATCATAGCTTAAGCTCCAGTACTATGTTTTAACATAAAAGTATATTAGTTAATAAACTCTAAGGAGTTTATTTTTATATATACATTTAAGCTTAAGTCTAATCTTTATCTTAAGCTTAGTACTATGGTTACACTATAAACATATTAGCTAATAAACTCTACAGAGTTTTTTTTGGCTATTATATATGTAGCTTGTTAATAATATCTTAAGCACAATACTATACTCATATTGTAAAATATGTTAGCTAACAAACTCTAATGGAGTTCTGCTATTATATATGTAGCTTAAGTTCATTATATCTTAAGCACAATACTATACTCATATTGTAAAATATATTAGCTAACAAACTCTCCACGGAGTTTTATTATATATGTAGCTTAAGTTAATTATATCTTAAGCACACTACTATACTCATATTGTAAAAATATATTAGCTAACAAAACCCTACAGAGTTTTGCTATATATATGTAGCTTAAGTTAATTATATCTTAAGCTCAGTACTATACTAATATTATAATATATATTAGCTAACAAACTCTACAGAGTTTGGCTATTATATATGTAGCTTAAGTTAATTATAGCTAAGCACAGTACTATACTAATATATTATAAAAATATATATTAGCTAACAAACTCTACAGAGTTTGGCTACCCTTATATATGTAGCTTAAGTTAATTATAGCTTAAGCACAGTACTATACTTATATTATAAAAATATATTAGCTAACAAACTCTACAGAGTTTTTGCTATTATATATATAGCTAAAAGCTTATTCATATCTTAAGCTCAGCATTATATCTATATCATATAAGTATATTAACTAACAAACTCTAAAGAGTTTGCTATTATATATAATTAGCTTAAGTTTAATCATATCTTAAGCTTAGGACTATGTTATATCTTAAAGTATTTTAGCTAACAAACTCTAAAGGAGTTTATACTAGCATATTAACAAGCTTAAGTCTATTAGTCTTAAGCATTGTATTAATGTTATATATACTTTATCATAATAAGTACATGGTAATAACCTTTATATGGCAGCTGATAAGTTAGCAGCAGGAATTCATCAGTTCAGTGCCTTTATGAAGTTCCCATAGGGTTATTACAATCATCACAGTTCAAATCACTAATTATTAAAAATCCAAAGTATTAGTATTCCCACCTCCGTTCCATTGAGGATGCTACAAAAAACAAAAGAGCATGAGTCAGGATAAGGAAAAATATGTAATTTTTGGAGTAAAATTGATATTTTATACTTATCCTGACTCATGAGGTCAGCCCTCCCATCCTCCCCAAATAACACTTTGGATTTCCCTGTAAATTCAAATGTTGGGCTCAGTATATGAGGAGAGAGTGAGGCACATGGGTAGAGGTGGCGCCCTCGTTCCCGCGCTTGTGGAAAGGAGGTAACTCGTGGTGAATACTAATTAGTGATTTTAAATTGAAGGGAGCTTCAATTAGGGAGATACAAGTGTTCCACTATGTTCGCAAGAAGAAGAAGACAAGCAAAAAGAGCATGAGTCAGGATAAGTATAAAATATCAATTTTACTCCAAAAATTACATTTTGGTATGACGCGGTCGGGGATCGAACCAGTGACCTTCCGCTCTCCAGGCGGACGCTCTAACCACTACACCACGGAGGCGGTCAGAACATGAAGTGTTGAAAAGCACTGACAGTTGTACATCATTTGAGTATTGAGATGATTAACCTTTAGGAAGCTGACAGACTGATGATCATGCTCCCTTTGTTGTTATACCCAGAGTGCTGAGATCGTCCGGGACCTGGGCGACCAGATCCAGAGTCTGAAGAACCAGATTGAGTATGTCCAGGACAACATTAATGAGTGTCAGACCAACATCATGCAGATGGAGGAAGCCAAGGTAACTTTGTGAAGCTTGGATAGCAGGGATAGGTTGCTTGGTACAGCTGCTGTACCAGCTGGGATAGTGAGGATGGTATGGAGGATGCATAGTGGAAATCTTTTGGTCTGTACCAGCTGGGATAGAGCAGATGGTATGGGGGATGCATAGTGGGAATCTTTTGGTCTGTACCAGCTGGGATAGAGCAGATGGTATGGGGGTTGCATAAAGGAAATCTTTTGGTCTGTACCAGCTGGGATAGTAGGGATGGTATGGGGGATGCATAGTGGGAATCTTTTGGTCTGTACCAGCTGAGATAGTGGGGATGGTATGTAGGATGCATAGTGGGAATCTTTGAGTGGGGTACCAGCTGAAATAGTGGGGATGGTATGGAGGATGCACAGTAGGAATTGTTTGGTCTGTACCAGCTGGGATAAGTGGGGATGGTATGGAGATGTATGGGGATACTTTGGTCTGTACCAGCTGAAATAGTGGGGATGGTATGGAGGATGCATAGTGGGAATCTTTTGGTCTGTACCAGCTGGGATAGAGCAGATGGTATGGGAGATGTATGGGGGGAATCTTTTGGTCTGTACCAGGTGGGATAGTGGGGATGGTATGGGGGATGCATAGAGGGAATCTTTTGAGGGTCTGTACCAGCTGGGATGGCAGGGGATGGTATGGGAGATGTGGGGGAATCTTTTGGTCTGTACCAGCTGGGATAGTGGGGATGGTATGTAGGATGCATAGAGGGAATCTTTTGGTCTGTACCAGCTGGGATATTAAGGAATGTTATGGGGAGATATGGGGGAATATTTTGGTCTGTACCAGCTAGGATAGTGGGGATGGTATGGAGGGATGCATAGAGGGGAATCTTTGGTCTGTACCAGCTGGGATAGTGGGGATGGTATGGGGGGAATCTTTTGGTGTGTACCAGCTGGGATAGTGGGGATGGTATGGAGGATGCATGGTGGGAATCTTTTGGTCTGTACCAGCTGGGATAGTGGAAATGGTATGTAGGATGCATAGAGGGAATCTTTTGGTGTGTACCAGCTGGGATAGTGGGGATGGTATGGGGGATGCATAGAGGGAATCTTTTGGTCTGTACCAGCTGGGATAGTGAGGATGGTATGGGGGATGCATAGAGGGAATCTTTTGGTGTGTACCAGCTGGGATAGTGGGGATGGTATGGGGGATGCATAGAGGGAATCTTTTGGTCTGTACCAGCTGGGATAGTGAGGATGGTATGGAGGATGCATAGAGGGAATCTTTTGGTGTACCAGCTGGGATAGTGGGGATGGTATGGGGGGATGCATAGAGGAATCTTTTGGTCTGTACCAGTTGGGATAGTGGGGATGGTATGGAGGATGCATAGAGGGAATCTTTTGTGCCAGAAAGGATAGGATGGGATAATTCTGGATGTACCAGCTGGGATAGTGGGGATGGTATGGGGGATACATAGTGGGAATCTTTTGGTCTGTACCAGCTGGGATAGAGCAGATGGTATGGGGGATGCATAGTGGGAATCTTTTGGTGTGTACCAGCTGGGATAGAGCAGATGGTATGGGGGATGCATAGTGGGAATCTTTTGGTCTGTACCAGCTGGGATAGAGCAGATGGTATGGGGGATGCATAGTGGGAATCTTTTGGTGTGTACCAGCTGGGATAGAGCAGATGGTATCAGGGATGCATAGTGGGAATCTTTTGGTCTGTACCAGCTGGGATAGAGCAGATGGTATGGGGGATGCATAGTGGGAATCTTTTGGTCTGTACCAGGTGGGGTAGTGGGGATGGTATGTAGGATGCATAGAGGGAATCTTTTGGCCTGTACCATCTGGGATAGTGGGGATGGTATGGGGGATGCATAGAGGGAATCTTTTGGTCTGTACCAGCTGGGATAGAGCAGATGGTATGGGGGATGCATAGTGGGAATCTTTTGGTCTGTACCAGCTGGGATAGAGCAGATGGTATGGGGGATGCATAGTGGGAATCTTTTGGTCTGTACCAGCTGGGATAGTGGGGATGGTATGGAGGATGCATAGAGGAAATCTTTTGGTCTGTACCAGCTGGGATAGTGAGGATGGTATGGGAGATGTATGGGGGGAATCTTTTGGTCTGTACCAGCTGGGATAGTGGGGATGGTATGGGAGATGTATGGGGGGAATCTTTTGGTCTGTACCAGCTGGGATAGTGGGGATGGTATGGGGGATGCATAGTGGGAATCTTTTGGTCTGTACCAGCTGGGATAGTGGGGATGGTATGGGAGATGTATAGGGAAATCTTTTGGTCTGTACCAGCTGGGATAGTGGGGATGGTATGGAGGATGCATAGAGGGAATCTTTTGGTCTGTACCAGCTGGGATAGTGAGGATGGTATGGGAGATGTATGGGGGGGAATCTTTTGGTCTGTACCAGCTGGGATGGTATGGGGGATGCATAGTGAGAATCCTTTGGTCTGTACCAGCTGGGATAGTGGGGATGCCAGGGGCTGTGCGAGCTTGGTTAGAGGGAATGACATCAGCTAGTTGTAAGACATGGGCCTGTGCAAGCTGGAGTAGTAGGGATGATGTAGTGTGTGGAAGCAGACATTGTGACTTGTCTGCAAGCTGGGATCATGGGGATGTCTTGACATGTACTTGCTCGGATATTTGAGATGAACAATCTGCCAGAGTGGGGATAGCATGGTCTGTACCAGCTGGGATAGTGAGGATGATTTGGTCTGGTCATGCTGGGTTAGTGGGGATAATATTGTCTGCACATGGTAGTGTAGTGGGGATGGTGTGATCTGCACAGGGAGGGGGAGACAGGTTGCTGTGGAATATACAATCTGACACAGTCGGGAGGATGAGGTCAGTACATTTGGGAATATCTGCTACAGAGTTTCCATCTACATAATGATAAAAGTGGGATACTGCACATGGATACTGCTGACTGGAAGTTTTACTTGTCTGGAACTCAAGTTTGATATTCAGGCTGTTCCATAGCTTTATGTGATAAGTGAATACCAGGTAGAAGTTCTCTTCTAAGTTCTTCCATGGTGTGTACAGTGATGCAACATTATTGTAACAACCGATCTGTTGACAGGAGGAGACCGAGAACCTGGATGTTGGTGCTGTCATCTCTACAGTGTCACTGGAGGAGGCAAAATACCTTCTTGAACACTTCCTCCAACTTTCAATCAACAAGGTAGAGTTACTTCCCTTTGATCATTTTGACAATGCATAATAAAACAGACTGTGTTATCTCACTCTATTAGCATAATTCCTCAGAGCGCTTTGCCTCTATAGGCCTGTTGTTCCTTTGCTGCTTGAGAAGGAATATTAAACATCGACAGTATAGTGTTGTATTATACATTTATGTATCTTGCTGTTTAGTTTATTTGTTGATACACAGATCAAATCGATTCAAAGGATTTAGAGAGTAGGGGTCCAGAAGCCGTTGAATTGTAGTTACTTTTATGGGAAGAAGTGAATGTTCAAGAATAGGAGGAAATTTGTTTTACTTAAGATTCCAAAACTCCTCAGAATGTTGAAACTTGGGTCAAATGCATTAAGCATGTATATGTCAAACATATATTTGAAAAGACCTGTATGTTGTTCAGGGCATGGCTCTAGCTCTCAAGGATTCCGAATCCAAGGAGTTATTAGCAAAGCTGCATCAGACAGAGCTGAACAACACCCTGCAACAGGATCTGCTGAAACACATGATGATGGATCATGTCGACATAGAGGTGGACAATCTGATGTCCAACAATGACGAACTCGATGGTAAGACATTCTTGTAGACAAGAGAGACTGGGTGGGGATAGAAGCATCTTAGTGATACCATGATGGTGGACATGGATTTCATGGGGGAAGGACTAATCTACATGGTCTGTTGTTCAGTCAGTGTAATCTTGAATATCAAATTTCTTCTTTTTATTAACTTCAGTAATAATTCAGTACTTGATTGATCGATTGTTAAAATTTGAATTATCAGACAACAAAGTGAGTTTTACAAATTTTACACTTTTTGAAAGTAATAATTAGTGGTGTTCTGATGATCGAAAATAATCGAAAATCGATCGAAAGAAGGATTAAAAATGATTATCGATTGTTAAAAAACATATTTGTGATTAATTGGAAGTTTGTTGTGTTAGTTTAACACACTTGAATGCAGTAAACTAGTGATTAAATTTGATGAATATTCACGAACAAATATGCGCTCAACAGCATAAAGAAGCTATGCGCATTGTAAAATTGTATCTACTTTTATTGTTTAAGTACAATTCCAGTGTCTTTCTTGCATGCATGCATTTCATTGCATGACAGTATGTTATAAGAAACATTTGTTAGAAAAAAACTGGTGAAAAACGCTTCAAATTGGTGATTTCATTAAAAATGTATATATATTTCTATTATAATTGATAATCATTCACCACAATCCTCCGATAATTGATAGTGGATTTTGTTTCCGATTGCCAACACTAGCAATAATATATCTCCTTTTTGATGAGCAAACACACAAGACCCCTGTCAAATGTGTTGTGAAGTTAGAAAACGGTCTTTATTGATAACACAGGATCTCTCACCTAAGATTCACATTGTCTGCCACATATCGTTACCATCTGTTCCACATTTTAATCAGCTATGGCAACAAGTCTATGTACTTGGAGCCTTTTCAGAGCCAAATTTCCATTGGATTTGAGGCTGTTATTAACTAAGATTGGATTTGAGGCTGTTGTTAACTAAGATTGGATTTGAGGCTGTTATTAACTAAGATTGGATTTGAGGCTGTTGTTAACTAAGACTGGATTTGAGGCTGTTGTTAACTAAGACTGGATTTGAGGCTGTTATTAACTAAGACTGGATTTGAGGCTGTTGTTAACTAAGACTGGATTTGAGGCTGTTATTAACTAAGACTGGATTTGAGGCTGTTGTTAACTAAGACTGGATTTGAGGCTGTTATTAACTAAGACTGGATTTGAGGCTGTTATTAACTAAGATTGGATTTGAGGCTGTTGTTAACTAAGACTGGATTTGAGGCTGTTGTTAACTAAGACTGGATTTGAGGCTGTTATTAACTAAGACTGGATTTGAGGCTGTTATTAACTAAGATTGGATTTGAGGGCTGTTATTAACTAAGACTGGATTTGAGGCTGTTGTTAACTAAGACTGGATTTGAGGCTGTTATTAACTAAGACTGGATTTGAGGCTGTTATTAACTAAGATTGGATTTGAGGCTGTTGTTAACTAAGACTGGATTTGAGGCTGTTGTTAACTAAGACTGGATTTGAGGCTGTTATTAACTAAGACTGGATTTGAGGCTGTTATTAACTAAGATTGGATTTGAGGCTGTTATTAACTAAGACTGGATTTGAGGCTGTTGTTAACTAAGACTGGATTTGAGGCTGTTATTAACTAAGATTGGATTTGAGGCTGTTATTAACTAAGACTGGATTTGAGGCTGTTGTTAACTAAGACTGGATTTGAGGCTGTTGTTAACTAAGACTGGATTTGAGGCTGTTATTAACTAAGACTGGATTTGAGGCTGTTGTTAACTAAGACTGGATTTGAGGCTGTTATTAACTAAGAATGGATTTGAGGCTGTTATTAACTAAGAATGGATTTGAGGCTGTTGTTAACTAAGACTGGATTTGAGGCTGTTATTAACAAACTTTGTATCTTGTGCTCATGTCGTGATGTTGCAGAGTTTGACATTGAAAGCTGCACTACATCAGCTTCCTCTTCCCCTGCAGAAAGGTGAGTAGGAGATTATCATCATCACTTTTAGTAAATCACGGTCCTCATTTGTAAGGCCCTATTGGTCAAATTGGCTTTCATTCAAGTGCCAATAAAACTTTAAGATTTATGAAAAGAAATTGCTGTCATGAAAGTTTTATTTCTTTCACAATTTAATTTAATTCTGAAATATGAAAAAATTGTGAACATTACAGAAAAGCCAGGCAGTTTTTACGGTAAATTTTCATTATTATTTCATCCCAACTGGTATCAATCCTGGCTGTGTTTTTTGGTCCAAATTCCCAAACTGCTATTGAACCAGTTATGGTAAGGGTTGTTGGTCATTGATAGGAAGGATGGAAGGAGATTTGATTTGACTTTGATGTTCAGTTTACATCTTGTTTACAAAACCCATGTCTTGAACCCTATGTGTTTGTAAACACAATGTACAATGTGTTATTATTTGCAAATCAACAAAAGTCACTACAATTTGCCTAACTACTACTAATTGTTTTCAACCAGCAATTAACCAGAAAGTCAATGACCTTACCTAACAAAATTAATCCATTAATTTTTCAACATTGTTCTCATGCAGAACATTTTACGTGATGAATATAAAAGTTTTTTTTATTACATTATCCTTTTTTTAAATTGCTAACTTTACTTTAATGTTGATATTTGCCACATATATATCTAGGTATTTGTATATTCAATGTTTGAGGACTGCTTTGATCACATTTTCTGAAATATAATATAACATTTCTTGATGAGCAGTTTTTGTGTTTTGTCATCAAAACATTTTTCATACTCACCTGGAAATATTTGTATGCGTCAGGTAAAGAAAGGAATATGTGAATAAACAAAGCATAGTATGAGTTTCAGTTTTAATGTTATGTATGAACTTACTAACAGCTTTGAAGAAATCGTAAGTCACACATGTTTAGAGTTAAAAGCATGCTAACACTAACGAGTAAGTTTTAACACTTGTATATCTGAACCAAGATGTTTATAAACTAACACGCTTTTTTCTTTTTCTTCTCTTCCCTACTCGAGGCGGCTGCCCTCCACTGGTATCGTCCTACCAAATCCTTACCCTTCATGCACCTTTCCTGTGGATTCAGTGAAAACAGTGACTTTTGTTTATTTGCGGCTGCGGTCTTGATTTGTTTTGTGGCCCTTCAGTTATACGCCAATTGAGTCTGCATGGTTTCCAACTTCTCGACTGTGATCATTAGATTCCCTTTCCACCAAAGTGCCTCTTTTATACACATGTTATTTGTTGAATTTTATAAAGTTTATTTTTGTAGATGTATGTATCTTCAGCATTCCTTGAAACGGTAGCTTGTGTCAGGTGATGTCATGCACACTTAGCATTCTTAGATATTGTGATGCTTGTGCATGTAGTTATGGACAATTATGCACACTTATTTATTTTAGAACAGAGTTGTGTTTTTTATGATTTTCCTGTGCATTTTTGATGTAATGATTTGCCGGCGCCATGTCTCCTTAGTTTTCAGGATGTGCTCAAAGATTTCAAGATCAATATGTCAAATTCCTCGTGCCAAACTGTTTTTCTGTAGTGCCTTTTGACGAATTTTGAAACACTGAGCCATGTAATATACGCATGTAGTCAGTACGTACTACTTAGATTTCAATCCGTGCCAAACCTTTTTGAACATGCAACTGGCTTTAACTCAGGCATTTGAGTGTTTAATGCAAATGTGCCAAATGTTTTTCACTTTATTTGTAAATGTTCGTGGTTGTATACCAAAGTTTTTTTATATTTGGATGAACTGTTGATCGCAAGTCATACTCATCAGTCATTCCCTCGATGCAATTTTCTTTAAATGTGATGTGGCTTCAGTGTAAATTTGCAGAAACTATTTCCATGTTGGCATTAGTTGTATGTTTTGTGAGTTTGTATGTTCACTGAGCACATCCTGTGGTTTCTGTGATGGCCGTGTTTGTGTGTGACTGACCCCACCCCCCTCATCTCTGGCTGCAGCATGTTAGAGGCACCTCTGCCCTCCGTGTTTGTCGGACCTCCATCAGCAGGAGATGTAGCCAATAAGAAAGAAAAGGTCAGTACTAACATATCACAGCTCATGAACAGGCCAAGCCTGGGGTGCTTGTGGTCACTTTGGAATGAGTTTTACTCTTGTTTTTGTTTTATGAAACTGGCGGACAAACATCACTACAATGGAGAATTATACATGCGAGAATGTTAACGATGTTAATGAACATTATGTGCATGTGAACCAAAGTTTCAAAACTATTTCTCATTTAGTTTATTTGGTTGCTGACAAATCTACTCAAAGGAAATTCCTTTTACAATCCTTTTCCTCTACTCAGCCCTAAAATGCTGGCACAGAAGCTTTTTCCAGAAAGGATATAAATGGTATTCACAAGTAATTTTGAAAGTAACTCTTCTCAAGCTGTAAAGAATACAAAGTTAGTATTCCTCTGTATATATTAGGATGTTATTTCAGTCAGTAATGCTGTTTGTCCCCAGTCATGTTTTATGTGTGGCTGATGTAGACTTAGTGACCTCCCTTGCTTGTCGCTCTTCAGGGCAGCTCACAATGAGGTAGCAAGGTGTGTACAGATGCCTGGCCAATCTAGTGCTGCTCTGCTGCCTATTAATATCTTGGTAACAAAGGTATCTTTATAAATGTTTAACTCTCAATGTTGTAAGCCACCCAACCTTTTTAACTCTTTTCCTTTCAAAAATAACCAGACATTGTTATAACAAATTCTGAACAGCGATGTGTTGATCTGATAGGAATCCTTGCAAAATAGTTCACTGCAGTGTATCAGCTGTAAGGCTGTTTTCTTGATTGAGTCATGTCTCAGCTACTACATGAGTAGTTGGTCGGTTGGTTTTTAAGGCCGCACTCAGCAATATTCCAGTGAGTGAGTGAGTGAGTTTAGTTTTACGCCGCACTCAGCAATATTCCAGCTATCTGGCGGCGGTCTGTAAATAAATCGAGTCTGGACCAGACAATCCAGTGATCAACAGCATGAGCATCGATCTGCGCAATTGGGAACCGATGACATGTGTCAACCAAGTCAGCGAGCCTGACCACCCGATCCCGCAGCAATATTCCAGCTATATGGCAGTGGTCTGTAAATAGTCGAGTCTGGACTAGACAATCCAGTGATCAACATCATCAGCATTGTTCTACGATGACGTGTCAACCAAGTCAGCGACCCTGGCGACCCGACCCCGTTTGTCGCCTGTTACGACAAGCATGGGTTACTGAAGGCCAATTGTTACCTGGATCTTCATGGCTTACTACACGAGTAAAGTGATCACAGATGGGTTTCATTCTTTGCATGATAGCAACAGTGCAAAATACTGTCTTCATCTGCTTGTGGGGCTGTGGGATAGCCTAGTGGTTAAAGCGTTGGCTCGTCACGCCGAAGACCCAGGTTCGAATCCCTACATGGGTACAATGTGTGAAGCCCATTTCTGGTGTCCCCGGCCGTGATGTTGCTGGAATATTGCTAAAAGCGGCGTAAAAACCAAACTCAGTCACTCAGTCAGTCAGTCAGTCATCTGTTTGTAATATTGTGAAGTGAATGGATAAAGTAATGGCAATTTATATCTCTGAAATAATTGATCGAATCAATCATCATTGGTAATAGGGCGAACCTTTGCTAAACCAAAACAAGCTGATTTTGTCAAGAGTATGAGGACCTATACCATATTTAATTTCTTCAACATTTATCACACCAAGAGTTAAGAAGGTTGGGAAGTGGCCGTGTATGTACAGGCTGATGTCTGATGTCAAGTAGTTTTTACAGACACTAGCTGTCCAAGGTAACTCTATTGTAATTGTTCAAATAATGTGGGTTTCGTCTTCTGTATCTGTCTGGAGAAAAGTGTCTTCTTTTAATATTTTTCAGTAATGTTAAAACTTTGGAATAGTATTGTGACAGAACTAATTAATGAGTAAACCTTCTGAACACATCCAAGTAGCATCAGTACAAATGCTAGGAAGTCATTACCAGTCAAGATGTTGTAAGCTTGTTCAAGATTTGTGGTTAAAGACACTTAAATTGCAGCATAAAGACATTTTATCATGAAATTATAATAGCCTGCATTAGCATGTGCTGACACGTTTACAGTCTATCTTTAACACAAATTAACTGATTACTTGGTTCAAAATTTAATCACTGACAGCTCCAGTTGACAATCCACACAGATAGTGTTGTTTGTTTCTTCTGTGTGGTATGCTGCTCTAAGGCTGAATGAAAAGGCAAGGCTGGTTCTCACCTGTGTCTATGAAGGAAAACTGAATCTTTCACTAAAAGAGAGTTCTCTGTTTCATTTAAAAAACCTCTATGCATTTCTGTGAGAATCACTTGTTTTTTCCTTCGCCTGTATGTGCATTAGTTTTGTGTTATTGTTTGCTCCTTGTGAAATCGTGTGGAACCTCATTTGTGGAGACGGTTTGGCTAATGTCATATCAGCTGGTTTTGCAAAACATGGAATGTTATTCTTCCTACCATAAATCCTTGAACATATGCCAGCCCTTTTATAAATGTTAAATCCAGCCACCCTTTGCCTTTTAGAATGCCTGCATTATATGTAAGCATCACTCTATTAAGTGTCCGAGGATCTTTCACAATTGATAAATGCTGGCCTTTTATTTGAGGATTTATGGTTGACTGTTTTCTTTACCATGCAGGTCTAATGATATGCTAGGAATCCAAAGTAATGGGGTTCTACTGCATTTCTCATGTGTTCGTTCTTTTTCAGATATGTAAAAATAGACTGTGGACTAATATATCAACCTATCTGACCATTATGAAAGGCAGAAACAGTCTCTCTTGTGTATTTGAAATTATGAACACACTATATATTGTGACTTGCTTCACAATATTGGATGTAGAAACAGGAATTCTGGATCAGATTTGCCTTTTCTGAAAAAAATTGAACATTTTGAGGGGATGTGAATTATGGGCATCAAAAGATTTATGAAGAAATTTGTTACAGAAAAAATGATAAAAACCTGCCTCTCTATTACACTAGTCATATTCTTTCTCTATTAATCTTTAGTTGTATATAACCCTTCAAATATTTATGCAACTTGCTGAAGAAGCAAACATATTTATTTCTACAAAATAAAACCAAATTCCATCTTGCAGCTGTTTTTTCGTCTCTTTGGGGTAGGTCTGCAACAGTATAATATAGAATAATGTATCTTAACCCTATAACTGTCATGTATGTCTGGCCACCTGTTCCGGTCAGTACACTCAGGCCTATAGTCAGCATGAAGGTCTCTGTGTATCTATCTATCTCTATATAGGACACACCAAAAAACATGTATAAGCACAAACATGCCTGTTGAAACACAGCACTGAACATCAGAAACTGAATCATACAAACTTGGTTCTAAATGAAATGTGTTCTCTTTGCAAGGAGAGTAACTGCTGTGTTTAACACACAAATTAAGTGCAGATTTGAGGGTTAGTTAATAGTTTTCAATCATAAGTGAGAGAATTTATGGATATCAACTTTTTTATTATAATGAAAACAATGTTTTTGGAGTTATGCTTACTGCTCCATCAGTTGAATGAATGCTAGGATGCATAGAGCATATGTACATTTAAGAAGAGAAGAAGGTAACAAAATAGCAACCTTTGTGAAGGTAAGCAAGCAGTTTATTAGAGCTGACTGGTTTCAGCATTGAACAATAGTTCTGATGAGCACTGACTGAGCATAATCAGAAAGAAAGAAAGAGGTAATTAACACTCAAAGGGAATTGTAATGGAAGACAGGAAGTTTACCTAAGACTGAGGATGTCACAGATGAATTAAATCATTAAGCCCCCAAAACGAGGCTGATATGTTCTAGATCACTGCGACCAATGTTCGATTATTTCAATTAATCGGACCACCACTGATATGTTCTGTGGTCACTGTTCATGGCTGTATGGTATACCCTGATGTCAATCATCTTTCTGCTTTTCCTTTGACAACAGTTGTTGGTAGAAGTAGACAGGAGTTTTGTAGTTTCCCACATGATGCTTTGGCCTTGGTCTTTGTTAATTGTGGATTGCTGATGAAACTGGACAGAAGTCTGTTGTTTTTTGGAGAATCTGGTGTTGAGGGGGTGGGTTTCTCCTGTGTATTGGTGGCCACAATAAAAAAGTTGACATCCATGGATTCTCTCCTTATGTGTCTCACTTCAGAACATTCCTAGTCAAACAAGTACTTGGTCATGAGCCATGTGATTGGACTGCGGGCCAGAAATATAGAAATGTATAGATACATATAGAATCTCACCCGAGTATCTTTTGATATCAAATATATCACCACGAGTTGATAAAGTAACAAATATCTGAGGCTTGCCGAGGATATTTTTACTTTTATCAACGAGTGTTGATATATTTGATATCAGAAGACACGAGGGTGAGATTCTATTTATCATCTCAAAAATCACTCTTCATTAGTTTTCAATGAAAAATGTACATCTCTGAACACAGTACTGCCATTAGATTTGCAGTGCAGCGATGTCATAACATTGTGACTTCAACAAGTTCATGACGTCATAGCATTGTCAGGGCATTGTACAAAATCTACTGTCAAAAACGATATCTCCTAGGATATATTGTCTGATCTCACACAAGCGATATCTACTGTGGAACACAGTTTTGGATGATAAACTGTCTTATGTAAAGGCTGGTAACTTGTGTGGAGGAGTGATAGGAATATGAAAAGCTGTATATGTACTTTCAGTGGTAGTAACTTTCAGTTCATATACTTGGGGCTTTCAAGAAGGACCCCATAGGTATGCTAGCACTGTAACTGAAAACTTCCACAGATGTACATTCTAACAATGCATCATCTTACCTGCGTCCAATTCACTTTTAATACAGCTGTACAGTATGGCTAAAAATACCCCACTACCCACCTGCTTATTTAGTACCATTAAAGTTAATCAAGAAAAGTGGGGGCTCCATATTTATTATCAGCGCTAACCTTAAATGGGTGTAACATTACATGAAACCTCATTAACAAAAAACTTGTTTAATTATGTAATCATGTCATTGGAGTTATACTCATGAAATACTACTCTGCTTTCTCCTTGTTATTTGACCAGCTGTATATAATCATGTCAAGGCTAGACAAACCAGTGGTTAATATTATGAACAATGTGACTAGGTTATGCTGACATTACTACGACACATAATGTAACTAATGTATCCTTGAATAATCTTTGACTGACAAATATTGACAGGGAACTGTTCTGACAGTTGAGCACACCTTACTCATATGACTCTCAAACAATGGGGGGTGGGGTGGTAAAGGTTTCGTAGATAAGGTTCAATTTAGTTGGGGCGGTGGGGTAGCCTAGTGGTCAAAGCGTTCACTCGTCGCGCCGAAGTCCAGGTTCGATTCCCCACATGGGTACAATGTGTGAAGCCCATTTCTGGTGTGCCCTGCCGTGATATTGCTGGAATATTGCTAAAAGCGGTGTAAAACTAAACTCACTCACTCAATTTAGTTATTGGGTGGCAGGGGAGTTCAGCTTATACATTAAAATTATTTGTGCTGACATGTTTCACCTAAAACCTCAACCCTTCATTGTTTCTTCCTTCAGTAACCACTAGAGTTTTGATACCATGGAGAATTGATACAGATAGGATTACTATAGAATAAATGACATGGTATGGTAGAAAGACTGTTCTGCAAACAAGTCTGATAAGATGGTGTCTGGTGTTTCTTGCACCTTGTGTCAGGAGAGCATGGAATTCTTCAGTGCATGTAACTGTGTTTGTAGATAGAGAAGTTCCTGACATTGGCATGATGTCGTGGAAATGTTCTGCACAACTTGTCAAGCGTGAACTCTTAAACTTTATGACCCCATACAAATATGTAATCGTTCATTTGTGTGCTTAACTATCAGTATGATAATGACCACTAACCATCAGATAACACAACAAAACATCCATAATTCTTTAACATGAGTGTTCTGTGACAACCATATCAGTATTTCAATATTAATTTGTCACACAATACATTTTTGGGAAACACTGAACTGACCACTAACACCCCTGATACACCTGACATCAAGGTTTCAGATTCTTTTTCATGTAGAACAAATCTGACATACATAGCGATAGCGATATTTCATATTCCATTGGTATTTTCTGAGTATATTTGTTAGATGAATGTGAGTTATCATATTTATGGGTATATTTTGGTGACCTTGGCATGACCTCACAGTAGAGTAGCCACAGATGCACAATTTGCACAGAGGTCGGATGTGGACAGGTCAAGGTTGCATAATGTTAAGACGTATATATATAACATTTGCACACATATTGAATTTTAGGAATGATGCATATTGTACAAAAAGATATAATGAAGCACTATTATTATTAGTAGTATTTTAGTTTGATATTTTGCCAGAATTAGTTATATATTTCCTATAAATACAGTGCTATCAATGTTGACAGTGGTACCTTAACCAAAAACTTATCATCTTGGGTTGAAATCCTGATTGGTTCCATTCAGGTTTGTCAAAACCCTCTCCATGCTCACTGGTTGAACCAAAGTGGTAAACCTCCATCTTGAAACATGCATCAGATGATACCCTGTGTTCATCTGGTATACTATTCAGATCGGGTTAAAACACAACGCACTATGCTAAGCATTCAGGTAGAAATGAAAAATGAAATGGAGTCATAACTATGAGATAAATTTGAATCATGTTATGACTTTTCCACATTGAAATCAAGGAACATGAATTTTCAAAACAGATTTATATCTGGTAGTTTCAGAATACAGGAATTTCAAAAGTATTTAGATATGCTTGACACTGTTTAGTAATTCATCTGGTGCATGTGATCAAGTTTTATTAACTTTTAATGATGTAGCACAAATAGCTTCTTAGTTGTCATGTATTGCCAAGAAATTACAAGTGGTTTTGATGTTTACTGTAGAGCATGTTTGAAAATAATTCTTAGTATCTATCGTTTCACTGTATAGCTTGATTTTAAGGCCTCATGATTTTAACTGTTTTCAGGCTCGTCGAAAGACCGCCACACCAGAAGATCTACTGTATGCTGGGGGTCCTCAGGAAGGTTGTCCGCCTTTGCTTCCTGTTCTAGAGACTCCAGATGAAGACAAGGAGATCCTGTGGCCGGTCAAGGAGGAGCTGGAGGGCATGCCAGTCAATGGGACAGACACTGTCCTGATGCCACCTCCCAAGTCTCTGGCTGTAAAGCCAAATAGCTCAATACCAAGGTGAGACATGAATCTGCCCTAGATGACATGTAGCTCAATGCCCAGGTGAGACATGAATCTGGCCTAGATGACATGTAGCTCAATGCCCAGGTGAGACATGAATCTGGCCATGAGACATGTAGCTCAATGCCCACGTGAGACATGAATCTGGCCTAGATGACATGTAGCTCAATGCCCAGGTGAGACATGAATCTGGCCTGCCCAGGTGAGACATGTAGCTCAATGCCCACAAGGTGAGACATGAATCTGGCCTAGATGACATGTAGCTCAATGCCAAGGTGAGACATGAATGAAGACATGTAGCTCAATGCCCAGGTGAGACATGAATCTGGCCTAGATGACATGTAGCTCAAGCCAAGGTGAGACATGAATCTGGCCTAGATGACATGTAGCTCAATGCCCAGGTGAGACATGAATCTGTAGCCAATACCCAGGTGAGACATGAATCTGGATGACATGTAGCTCAATACCAAGGTGAGACATGAATCTGGCCTAGATGACATGTAGCTCAATGCCAAGGTGAGACATGAATCTGGCCTAGATGACATGTAGCTCAATGCCCAGGTGAGACATGAATCTGGCCTAGATGACATGTAGCTCAATACCAAGGTGAGACATGAATCTGGCCTAGATGACATGTAGCTCAATGCCCAGGTGAGACATGAATCTGGCCTAGATGACATGTAGCTCAATGCCCAGGTGAGACATGAATCTGGCCTAGATGACATGTAGCTCAATGCCAAGGTGAGACATGAATCTGGCCTAGATGACATGTAGCTCAATGCCCAGGTGAGACATGAATCTGGCCTAGATGACATGTAGCTCAATACCAAGGTGAGACATGAATCTGGCCTAGATGACATGTAGCTCAATGCCCAGGTGAGACATGAATCTGGCCTAGATGACATGTAGCTCAATGCCCAGGTGAGACATGAATCTGGCCTAGATGACATGTAGCTCAATGCCCAGGTGAGACATAAATCTGGCCTAGAAGACATGTAGCTCAATGCCATGGTGAGACATGAAACTGTCCATAACACATGTAGCTCAATGCCCAGGTGAGACATGAATCTGGCAGAACTTAGATAACTCAATGCCAACGTGAGACATGAATCTGTCCCACATGGCATATACCATAGGTTACCTGACATCATAGATAAGCTGACATCTTAGGTCAGCCAAGCTTGGTCAATTCCTACCTGGAACATAAGCCTTGTAGAGAAATACCATACATACCACTCTGCATCACCAGCTGTAAGAGTGTTTCTGTTGTTTAAGGCCCATGAGTGGTAAGCGCCCCGATTCTGGCCCGTCACCCAGCCTGAGACGGAAGGAGTTCAAGCGTAACAACAGCCCTGAACCCTCCCCCGTGATGAGGAGGAAGAACTACTCTGACCGCTACGGGAGTCGATCTAGTTCCATGTAAGTCAGCATGTAACAGCCACTAATAAAGTCTCATCTGCTTGCTTTACGTTGTCTTATTTTCCTTTCACTTTTCATTTTATTAGCAGCTTCATGTTGTCTCATTTTCTTATCGGAAGCGATTCTGGCATGGTTTGGGAAAAAAGTAATATCTGGTTTAGTTTAGTGTAAATGCATTATATTGATGCTATATGTGAGTCAACTTACACTGAGGCAGAATTTAGTTCTTTTTGCTGGGATGCTTTTCTTTTGTTCTGTATACTGTAGTTAAGGTATCGTATGAAATCAAGTCCACCAATAATGAGTGTATATAGTATTGAAGGGATCACTGCGTGTTGTCCGCTATATTTTTCCTTAATTTTATATTATCCATGTTTTTTCAGCACAATAGCCAATCTTGTTAGATTCACTAAAGTTGAAAATCTCTGCATTCTGCATCAATACAGGCTTTTTAGCAAATTATAAGGCATGGCAGAAATATTTTTCAATGTAGCATTATACCAACTCACTAACTCAGCTCTTTGATGCCCATTCTTGATGTTCTGTGGTCTAGCATAGCTGCGGAATTACAAAGACTTGCACTCTAACAGCTGTTGTATTTATTGTATTAACATGTACTGTGTGTATCATTAATCCTGGAGTAATATGCATTGGCAAAAAATAAAATTGTCTCAGCTCATCTTTGGTACACCTCTCTCACAAATATTCTTTGTATTTTCACTCGTCCATTGAGAACTCCAGTTAAAGTTATGCCATTTACTAAATGGTATAAGTGTTAGTCCACAAGGCAATGTCATGAGTCTTTCCTCATTTCTTCTAGGCCTTTGATCATCACATATGTTTATTTCACACCCAAAATATCTGTATTTATGTGCCTGACAACCTATATTACATTAGCCTCTATTGATAATTGTATGTATGTTTCACTGTGAAGTGTCTATAATTCACGACCTCTTAATATCTGTTTCACCAAGACATACTGTAAGACTGCCAAGGTAAGCTTGTTAACCCTCAGATTACCCTGGTGTGGGGTACTTAGACTGAAACCTTCCTGGAAGAGTCCTATACCCTCCTGGACCTGGTTTACACACTATACCCTGCCTGGTGATTGTATACATGCTGCACATGTAGACAGTTGGACTACATGGACTCAAAGCTGTGGCATGTAGGACCTTGTCTTTCCAAATTCATTGGAAAGACATGGCTTATGCCTGAACTATTTATGTCCTAGGGAATATATGCATGCACTTGGGTGAACAAGGAACTCTGTTCCTCCTTGGATCAGGTGGTCAGGCTCTGTGATTGGGCTGCCAATTGGTCTACATACAGTGATGATGTGGATGGATGCTCATGCTCTCAATCATTTGTTTGCCTGATCCAGACTCAAATTGGAATCAGGTGGTCAGGCTGTAGCTGTGACTAGGCTGATAATGTGCCATCGTATCCTGATGATTCATTCAGTGGTTTGACGGGTCTGGACTCAATAATGTACAACCTGCTGTGATAAAGCCTCATTGCTCTGGTTGTAGCCTAGTGGTTAAAGCTTTTGCTCGTCCCGCCGAAGACCGGGGTTTGATTCCCACATGGGCACAATGTGTGAAGCCCATTTCTGGTGTCCCCTGTTGTGATATTACTGGAATATTGCTAAAAGCGGCGTAAAACCATACTCACTCACTCATTATTGCTGACTGTGGGAGTACACAATATTCTTTCACTGAAAATGTATACATACAGCCCTAGAGTTTAAGCCAATTCTGTTTCCTGTTCTCAGCATACAGTAAAGTCCTTTTAGTTCCTTTTTAGGTATGAAAGGACTAGCCTGGTTCAAGAGGTTGTCATTGGTGTGTGCATGTGGTTAGACTTATAGAAACGCTGACTGAGATGTTTTGCTGTCACCCTTCAACCTGGTATTAGGGAATTGTATTCTAATGACGTGTGCATGTATACAGTGGGATCCCAGGGTCCTGGGAAATGGTGGCCCCTGTCAAGAGGCTGTCCCCCTGCTTTGAGGGTCATGTAATGTGTCAGGGACAGATTATGTCAGATTGACATATCTTTGAAGTTGATCCGACCTACATTACCGGATAGCACACAGACGAACTAATGAGGCATGATATAATCAGCTCTGTGCAAATGGTATAGAACACTTTGATTGTCGGTATTGATTCGCACTGAAGGAAATATGATGAAGAAGAAATACTGGTATTATTTTTCATCAAAGTTTGCCTGTGCTTTGTGCTCATTTTATAGCTGTGACTTTTCGTGCTTTGGTGTTTAAAAACATGCTAAAACTATCCAACTCATCGATAAAGGGACATAGGTTGACCAGTTGTCTAGGGTAGTTGTCTGGCTGCTGTTGTACAAAGTGATCTTAGCACTAGAGGATCATAACTCCGATACCTTAACATAGACTTACAAAAATCATAGTGCTAGCAGAGGCCCAGATAAGCTGCGTATCCGGGTAAAATACGCATAGAAAATTTCCAATTACGCATTGAAAAATAATTGTTGCGTACCAATTACGCATTTAAAATGTTAGATACGCAAAAAGTTTAAAACAAATGCGTACGGAATATATTTATAAAATCGCTTGCGTAATGAAACAGACATTGATTGCTATCAAGTTGTACTGTTAGTATTGGACTAGTGTTGTACTGTCAGTACAGGATGAGTGATTTTTTATGAAATCATTTCCATTATATTTAAGTTGGTTTTGATTAGGTATGACATAAGGCAGAACATACCTGCTTAGTAAACTTACTCAATGACATAATACTTAGGTGAGTAAAATGACTGAAATACGCACATATTTGAAAGCAGTGGGTAATGGAAAATGAAATACCCACTCAACATTCATAATACCCACTCCCAAAAATTACAGTGGGTACAGTACCCACATGAGCTAAATCTTATCTGGAGCTCTGGTGCTAGGGTTGTTTTGTCCATAAATCTGTGATTGTCAATCAGATCTTAGATTGCCTGTTTATGTTTCACGTGTTATCAGCACCATGACAGTGTTCATGTGTTTCACCAAAGTGGCCATGTTTAATACCTGCATCATATGGGGCTCTGCTCCAATACTTCAAGGTAACACAGGGTTACTGAAATATTGTTCAAGGGAGTGTAAAACCAGACCCACTCACATCCAGAGAAATTGTAAAATAGCTTTGTCATGATGCTGAACACATTAGAGTTGTTGTCAGTGATGCTTAGTAAGTGTGAGTTACAAGTACAGCCTTTTTTACCTGGAATATTGAGATACATGCATGGTGAAAACCACCGTACAGGTTCCAGTCACCTCCTCAGTTCCTTGCCAAGTTCCTGGTGAGGGCGTTCATACCCACATCACCTGTACCATTCATTCCTCTAGTGTTTATGTGTTTCTTATATATTTTTTTCTCAGTGTAGAATTTTTCACTTTTACAAGACTGATACATACGAGTTTAAAGATTTAATATGTTCCTCAAACTGATGTTACTATAAGTTAAGATAATGTATCAACATTCTTCTTTTCTGCAATGTTTTTGAAAAAATTCCAGAGGTTTTAGTGAATTTCCAATCGCCCTGTTCGAATTCAAAAGGATGTTTTGACAATTGAACCTGTTCAACTTCATAGTACAGGTAGTCTGTTGTTGATGAATTAATCACAACTGTCTGTTTGATAGTCTTTCTAAATATTTGTATTTCTAGCAAGAAGGAACGTCTCAAGCATAACATGATCTACATATGATGTCATTTAAATGAGACTTGTGACAGAATGGTGATATTGGTAAAAAATGCCAATGAGATTGTAGAAAATAAATCTGATTGTTAATTTAACCCTTTTATTATGTTCATTAGAATTAAGACCCACATCAGCAGGGAGAGATACTTCCAGTCATAAATATCTAGTTTTCTCCCCAAGTTTTGTTCCTGAATAACCAACTTGACGAAAATAAGTTCGCCCATGGCCACTAGCCCTGGGTAAGTCAGTGTAGTATAGGGAACACAAGTACTGTCTTCTCTGGAACACTGAAATTGCAATAGTACATATTCCACATATTGAAGGGAACTTTCTGAAACAACTTTTGTCCAAATTCTTCTCCCACTGAATGTTTCTGTCCTCACTGTCACCGAAACTAGTGCGTTGAAGCTTGATTGAACTGTCTTTGAGGGACAAGGTCTACAGAATGTACTTGTCACTGGACAGACTTGTGAGCTGCTTCCTGCAGCTGTCTGTGACCCACTATGTGTGTGAGTCTGTACTCCTCTCCCTCCATGTGTTCAATCATGCGCCGTTGTCGAGACAACTTCTTTAGGTAGTTCTGGAGCTGTACTGCATTGGACCGACGATGAAGTCGCCGGCTGTGTGGCTTGGGACATGGCCTCGTTTGTGATGGTGCTGAAAGGAAGAAATACTTTATTTTGCAGAATACATTCGTGTATGTTGATAATTGTTTCAGAGGGGGTCTAATGATGGTGTGTTTTGTACAGTGTCCCTGTTATATTGGATGTACAAGGGCTATCAAAAAGTTTTTAGCCTAAAATAACAGCAGTATGAGTACTCAGTCTCATGGGGTACTGCTGTCAATCGCTCTTTAATGTGCTTCGCCCGGGTGACTCTCGAGGACCAGAAACTTAATGACTGCTCTGTACTCAAGCTTATCCATTTCTGCTGTTTCAATAGAGGTACATGTGATCAGATGTCACGTGACTGGAAACTAGCGACATGTGCATGTCAGTATTACGTTTATGTAAATGATATAAACTATTCTTCAATATCATACAATTATTTTCATCATACACATATCAGAAGTATTTTAGGTTAGGCTTAAAACCTTTTGATAGCTCCTCGTACCAGGGGGACGTTGTACAAAACAACCTTAGCGCTAAGACTACCTGAAATCCATATTAATGTATGGGAGTTATGGTTGTCTTAGCGTTATGATCGCTTTGTACAACGGCACTCTGGTCTAGAGTAGACATTAGAGGTGTCATTTATCTATGGCAAAAGTAAATATTCAGAAGGAAGTAGTGCACTTTCCCAGGCATATTCAGTTAGTTACATACCCTCAAATCAACCTTAAATTAAAATGAAGAACCCAAGGGCTAAGATATAAAGGAAAATGGAAAAATCTGAACTCAGTTGAACCTTGAATCATGGAGATCCCTGTGCTAGGAACATTAATCTTGAGAGAGAAACACATGCAGTCAGTTGTACCCAATGAACTGGTTTGAGATAAACCAAGAAATTTCAACACTTATGATTCCATATCCTGGTCTCATGTTCATAACAGTTGTTGCACAGATATCTCACTGAGTAAATTGTCTCTTGTCTGAACAGGGTCACCTTGAAATAACATTCTTCCCTAAGAATAATTTACAAGATTTGTTTTGAATGCAATGTAAGACATTTCTAAGAAGTATCACAGGACAGTATTTCTATGTATATATGTGGGCGGTGGGGTAGCCTAGTGGTTAAAGCGTTTGCTCGTAACGTTGAAGACCCGGGTTCGATTCCCCACATGGGTACAATGTGTGAAGCCCATTTCTGGTGTCCCTCGCCGAGATATAGCTGGAATATAGTTAAAATCGGCGTAAAACTGAACTCACTCACTCACTATGATGTTATTTACTGTGTAAATGCAATTTGGCTGAGTATCACTTTGATGGGGACAAAATTCCTTTATAGTTTCAAGGATATTACATCAGAGCTTCGGGGAAGCAACACCTACATAGGTGTGCAGTTGTCATGCATGTTCTGATATTATGTGCTCAGGTTTTATCTCATCATGGCTGATATCGCGGTTCAAGACATGTATATGACTTTCATATTGGTGACACCATATTAAGGTTTCAGGGAGTAATGTTGAACCAGGAAGTTCTATTTGTCAAATGAAAACTCTGAAAGGATTTCCTCGCATGTTAGTAGGAGATATTTTAGTGTAGGCTTAAACAAATATAACGAAAAATCCAGGAATAAAAGTATTAAGAAAACAACGTTTTGCAAACATATCCTCTAATTCCATCAGGAAATAGAGGCCTGGGGGTAATGTCAGCCAAGGAGGTAATCTAATATTATCACCCACTTCCTGTGGAGTCCACTAGTTCGGGGTACAGATAACTGTTGACTCTTGAGTCACCTGGCAATACAGCCATGTTGCTATCAGACAGTAAATACTCAGGCCCTGGCTACTGGTGTCACAGACCTCTTGCTGTCTTGTGGGACACACAGTTTGACTGGGATATCTTAACAAGGCTCAAATATGACAGGTGTAAATCTGTCTTTGTGATGTCAGTGCAGGGGTTAAATATGGGGAATGTGATGGGAAGATGATAAATGTGGTATTTCAATAGTTTATTGTTTGAAAGAACCAGTTAAAAACAGGAAAGATGAATTCCTAAGCTTACAAATCCGTTTAAAATTAGGATAATACATAACTGCACTGAAAAAAAGGTTAAATGTTTCATTTTCAAATAATCAGAAATAAAGGTTTCAGGTTTTCATTAGATTTTGATTTTATCTAATGCATTATACTACTCAAAAAGAAGAAAGAGAACACCCAGTATTTTCAATGACTATAGTTAATTATCAATTTGTGATTGTTCCTTAATTTGGAGTAGTATACATGTATTTATTTCTTGCTCTATGATATATAAGATTTATATTAAAGGAAGGACTCAGATGCATGTGGAACTATATATCTGTGATAGATCTAACCTTAACAAACATGATAGAAATGTATGGAAGATAGATTTTGTGTACATATTACAAACCTATCCTATTAATAAGGATAAAGGGGGCAACATGACAGCCCCACTTAAATGTAACAAAGGTATTTGATGTGACAAGAGACTGATCGTCAATACTACAGACCCATCTCTATAAGGGGTGGCATCTGATGATAAAAGAGTTGATTGTCCATACTGAAGACCAACAATAATACCCAGGGTGCCATCTAATGATACAAGAAGTTGTTCATTCCTACTACAGACCTGGAATAATATACTGGGTATTGAATCACATCTTTTGTTACGAAAAAGGTGATCATCCAGTCTACTGATTGTTAGTGTATTTCATAGACAGTTTGCATCAGATTTTGTCACTATTATTTCATATCCCATTTTTTATTCAAACCTGATTATATCAAGAACAGAAAACACCCAGCATTAATCTGTAATGTAATATCCCTAGGAAGCATTAAATATCCTGAACCAGAGGCCCAGATAAGCTGCGTATCCGGGTAAAATATGCATAGAAAATTTCCAATTACGCATTGAAAAATAATTGTTGTGTACCAAATTACGCATTTAAAATGTTAGATACGCAAAAAGTTTAAAACAAATGCGTACGGAATATATTTATAAAATCGCTTGCGTAATGAAAAAGACATTGATTGCTATCAAGTTGTACTGTTAGTATAGGGCAAGTGTTGTACTGTCAGTATTGGATAAGTGATATTTTTATGAAATCATTTCCATTATATTTAAGTTGGTTTTGATTAGGTATGATATAAGGCAGGACATACCTGCTTAGTAAACTTACTGAATGACATAATACTTGGGTGAGTAAAATGACTGAAATACGCACATATTTGTAAGCAGTGGGTAACGGAAAATGAAATACCCACTCAACATTCATAATACCCACTCCAAAAAATTTCAGTGGGTACAGTACCCACATGAGCTAAAACTTATCTGGAGCTCTGCTGAACTCACCAAGATTTTCCTTGTTTTGCGCATTCCATCCTGGTCATCCTTGTGAACTAGCAAATAGTCACAGAGGGTGTTGTCTGTTTTGTCTTCCGCTGGCTTGTGTCCATACATCAGGTTCTGCTCATTCTCCCTCATCCGGACCCTCACAGCATACAGTATGTCACTGAGAGTCTTTGTCCTTTCTTCAGGGTCGTGGATGTTAACGTACAGAGACTTCCACTCCTCTGTACCCTTGGAAGCATGAAGAGGAGCTTCTGAGGATTCAGATTGAGAGAAACTACTCTCCTTACCATTTGGCATTTGTTGGGAAAGCCTTTTTGTCTTCCTTGAAGGTTTATGCATTTGGAACTTTTTCTTTGAAAGTTGAGGAAGGTGACCATTAGCACGGTCAAGGTTATCAGAGCTCCTAACACTGTTACTGCCAGCAAAATGTACCTTTTTGGTGACTGATTTTGTGGGGATTGAAATTTCACATCTTGATGGGTCATTCACTGTTGGTATGTCAAAGTTGTTCTCTGAGATCAGTCTCATTTCATTGATTTGAGGCAATGCTGTCAGAGGGGAGAGAGCCCTTTGCTTGACAGTCTGAGAGTTATTGCCAGAGTACCACAAGGGTTTTGGAGCTTCCTCCTTAATTTGAGGCAGTTTAAAAACTGGAATATCCTTTGATGTTTTTGTTCTCTTTGGAATCTTTCTTTCTGGAAACAGTTTGAATTCGCCTTCAACATCACTATTGTCATTGAGTTTGGTCTCCCCACTGGATTCATCAGATAAGAATGTAAGTTCAGTGTCACTTTTTTGAAGTCCCTGATTAACCATTTCATCTCTGTTTTGCTCTTCTTCTGATATGCTCTTGTCACATTTGGGATACAAAGGACCTATAAGCCCATTTTTTATAATAGGAGGTAGTCGATGCTGCTCATGCCCAATGTGCTTGGGTATTGCACCATTAACACAATGCCTTGGACTTTTCTCGGTGTCTGAAAACCTTTGACTGACTCCTGCATCTGAGATTTTGAGCTCGGACATGTTGTGCCTGAGACTGGCCAACTGCTTCAGAAGCTGCTGTTTCTCCACAGAGTACATCTTCATGGTGTGATGAATCTCGTCCTGTAGCTTCTGGGTAGACTTCTGCAGGTAGTTCTCGTACATGTTGTTCTGGACCTGTGTTACCCTGATAACAGAAACATGAATTCTGTTTACCATGCTTAACCTTGAATTATCTAACTACAATGTGTCTTACCTGTCAGATGTACCTTGTGTGATCAAACTATGTTACCAACTGGTGAGCTGAACCTTGTGTGATCTAACTACATTGTATGTGACTTACCTGTCAGATGTACCTTGTATTATCAAACTATGTTACCAACTAGTCATCTGAACCTTGTGTGATCTAACTATGTTACCAACTGGTCAGCTGAACCTTGAGTTATCTAACTACATTGTATCTGACTTACCTATCAGATGTACCTTGTATTTTCAAACTTTGTTACCAACTGGTGAGCTGAACCTTGTGTGATCTAACTTTGTTGAGTCTGGCTGTGTCCCTGTTGACGTGGCTATGTTAGTGAGAGTGGAAAGAAAATGCTTCTTGTTGTCAGGATGGCTTTACTCCAGGTCAGGTGTTGTAGTCACAATGTAGGAAAGTAGATTATCCCATACTTCGGCTTGTTGTGTGATATATAGTTACACATTTATGATCACGATTCTTGTGCTTTGTCTACACAAGGGCTGTCATATATCCTATATGCTAATACTTATCTTGCATATATGAAGTTTCAAAACTGCTGATTGATTACTTTACAAGAGTTTATACACTGTCAGCTGATATATGACTGATATAGAGCGTATCTTTGCAATGAATGTTTTGAGTTTACCCGTTAAGAATGGCATTACAATACCAAAGAAATATTTTGAGTTAGGACATGTACGATTTTCTTAAGTTCCAGTTTTCATAGATGTTCAGATTTTCTCTGCATAAGTGACATATCAAGATCTAGGTATTTTTCGATTTGTTTAAATAATGACGTTGCTTGTTGTTTAACACTGCACTCAACAATATTCCAGCTATAAGGCGTTGGTCTGTAAATAATCGAGTCTGGACGAGACAATCCAGTGATCAACAGCATGAGCATCGATCTACGCAGTTGAGATACAATCACATGTGTCAACCAAGTCAGCAAGCCTGACCACCCGATCCCATTCGTCGCCTTTTATGACAAGCATGGGTTACTGAAGACTAATTTTAACCCAGATCTTTACTGGTCAATGATGGAAGGGTATTGTGAGTGACATCTTATTAAAAGTTATCTTATTATCTTTCATCAAAGGATAGTATGTTATTAATGTATGCTTTTTCTAACTTAAGATTACTTGAACACAAACAGTTACCTTACAGTAGAATCTAATAATTGCATGACGCCTGTGTTCTGTTTGACGTTGTTAGCGGCACCCAAACAAGCTAATAACATTCTCGTGGACAGTAAATATTACTGCCGTAGGCCCAGTGAGAGTGACTTGATGGGTTACAGTCGTAAGGTTAGGTAGTGCACTACAGTATGGTATTCCACTGGGAATGTGATTTATGAGTTTCCTTCAGTTGTGAGTTATCAGGGCCTGGGTTCATGTTTCATGCCTGCACCCAAGGAAATGAAACTGTTTCTGTAAACATCGTGATGAAATACAGGAATACAAGAAATAATATATACTTTTTAAAAAGTATTATTTATTTTTATGAAGTGGCTATTCCAAATTTTGTTTTGTAAAAATTAATTTAAATTTTTTTGGGTCACCTTTCCTTCTTACCTTTGTCACAATTTGATGTGTTGATCACTGGGTTGTCTGGTCCAGACTCGATTATTTACAGACTGCCAACATATAGCTGGAATATTGCTGAGTGCTGCGTAAAACTACTCACTCACTCGGTCACAATTTGATGTATCCAAAACATAAAACACATACCGGTAAGTCAAATTATGTCACAACATGTTTTGAAGCAACCCAAATACACCAATGAAACAATTTTTGTCATCTTGTTTCACCTACAATAATTACGCTGTTCATTTTAAGAGTAAAATATTGATGATCAGTGCTGATAATTATTTTCTTGTACAGTAAAGATATATATTCAACATCAGAATTTAGATGTGAGCCTCACAGGATGCATGATGATTAGTTGAACGTGATTTTCCTAAAATAAAGGCACTGGTATATATTACATCACAACTAACCCACAATCAGTTGAATATGATACATATCATGGATATTGGGCAATAAATACAATAACAAGTCAGTTGATATATTGTTCATTATATTCAGTGAAACAATAACAAAATAATTATTTAATATATTTTATGACAGTCTTCACAGTGTTAATTTATCATGACAATGCCCGCATCACTGTAAAATTGAACATATGGTGTTCGCTGTTACAATGCTTGGCTTGGATATGTTAACTTTTGCATATCCCTGTTCGATAAATGACACCCAAATTCTATTAAAATGCTCCTTAAGAACCAACATAAATATTTAATTCTAGTAATGATGAATAACAAATTAAATTCAGAAAGGCTAGTATGTATAAGATCAAAGTAAAACAGGTGTGATAGGGTACATACAGTACAATCATGCTCACACCATGCTCAAGGTAGTTTATTCAAATATTGTGTACATAATTTTCTGATATAAGAATCTGATGATTCATCATATTCATAAGACAGGTGAAATACTACATTTGTCAATATTCTGATTTCTGATATCATGATCAACAATTACAGCATTGACAAAATTCTTACCTGCCTGCTGTTTTTTTCAGCTTAAATTTCACACCTGAGGTTATAGTCAGTCAATGTTAAGGCGTGTACATGAAAGGCGTACATGATAGGCCTATCGAGAACAATGTTTAAGTGTAGTGTTTACATATGCACTGCCAGCTAATATAGATTTCAGCCTAAACAATTGCCAGTCCAGCAAGCTAAACAGCCCAGTCATGCAGAAACAAGTTATATCCGTAGGGTTTTACTAAGAATGTAATTTGTATGAGAACGCAGTCAACCCAGAAAGTGGATCAATTGAATAGAAACGTCCAATTTACACATGAAATTTACCAAACAGAAAACATTTGACAGAGTGTGATCTTAATGTACCATTGTGGAGGACACTGACATGCTTTAGGTTTAACTGTTGATTAAGGTGTCAGACAGGGTGTAGTTTTCTGGTGTTTGTTTTTGAGATTGGAGTTGGATTGGATCCAGGTAGATTGACATGTCATGGCCTCTATCAGGTGTAGAGAGAGGGGCTCAGTGTATGGTTTTTGTCCTCGTCTTAAGCTGTATATCACATGCATTGATTCATGATCGATCACTTCTAGGATCGTTTTTTCATAATGTTCTTATTATAGACTTGGTTTAGTGGGGATTAAGACTTTCTGGGGGTATTGAAGAACAGTGTATGGTTGTTAGGAATCAGTCATAGTTTGTATTTGGGGAATGATGTGAAAAATAATCAGAAAGAGCTGAAGTAGCAGTAAATGTTACTGTAGAAATTCTTGAAATATCCATTCACTTCCATGCTTATTTTGTCTGAAATATACTGGGAGTGATGGGTGGCCCAGTGGTATTTGTCAGAGGTCAGTGTTTGATTCTCCACAATTTAACATTGTTTGCATCCCTACTTGTGCAAAAGTTTTCAGATGTTTAAAAAGATATGTTTCCATAGTGAAACCTTTCATACTGAAATTAACTCTTTTTTTGTGCCCTTACTATTTCATTTTATAGATTTGGTTGGTTGGTTGGTTAGTTGGTTGGTTAATTGATAACACCACACTCAGCAATGTTCCAGCTGTATGGCAGCGGTCTGTAAATAATCAAGTCTGGACCAGACAATCCTGTGATCAACATCATGAAGATCGATCAATGCAATTGGGATACAATGACATGTGTCAACCAAGTCAGCAAGCCTGACCCTCCGATCCTGTTAGTGGCCTCTTACGAAAAGCATGGGTTTCTGAAGACCAATTCTATCCCAGATCTTCACGAGTATCATTTTATGGAAAGAATAAGAATATGTACACCAGAATAGATGATGTGTTACCTGTCTGTGACAGAGAGGGGCATGACCAGCCCTTCCTGGGGTCCGCCTTCACCCACTGTTCCCATCTCCCCCAGGTTTGGTATTTGGGGAAGGGTTGGGATGGCAGGAATCTGGGTCATCACTGGGCGTGGTCTTCGGTACTGCCCATACAGATGATGTTGCTGAAATGCAAAGCAAAAGTTATCTCTCTTCTTTCATTCAGATAACATTTAAATTGGAAAGACACTTTCTAATGAAATACTTGTCTGGTATTTTGAATCTCATGGATCTATGGATTGAATGGAATAAATGGATTTGTTTTACTATTTAAATGCAGGTGTGGCTATATAGTTTTTGCTAGTGCTGTTGATTGTCGGGGGTGGTGGGGTAGCCTAGTGGTTAAAGCGTTGGCTCGTCACCCTGAAGACCCGGGTTCGATTCTCCACATGGGCACAATGTGTTAAGCCCATTTCTGGTGTCCCCCGCCGTGATATTGCTGGAATATTGCTAAAAGCGGCGTAAAACTAAACTCAGTCAGTCAGTTGATTGTCGGGATTAAAGCACAATCAGTAGCATAAATAATCATTTTGACTATATCTTGGTACAGACTTCCAATAGATCTATCTATCTATCTGCTGAACGTAAGTCCAAACACATTTAGAGTAAATTTAGGCTTGCCACGTTTTTAATCGTAGAATATGTGTGCTTTTAATTTATGGCTAGATTTCTCTTCTGTCGCCAATGGCTGAAGGGATGGTGTAAATCCAACTAGGGTCCATGCAGGTGGCAGAAGTAATGTAAGTCCCCATTGTCCCTGGTATGGTGATCTACCTTCAGTTATTGGCGATTTATAACCCATTTTTATACTGTATTGTTTTTCCCCTATAGTGAAAAAAAACGTTTTAGATTTAATTACTAGTTTTACATACATTTCTGTGATATTCTAGTTGTTTTACTGTCCTTGTCTGCAGTTTTTTTTTATAATATACATATATTTCATTTCAATATCAAATGTTCTCGTCACGATATGGCTGAAATATTGCCGATGTGACGTTAAATATTAACTCACTCACTCACTCACCACTATCTGCTGAATTGTTTTTTTTACCAATGACAAATTCTGCTCACTGTCATGCACCATGTTCTTTCCTTGACCTTGATATGTATTTCATGCTCTTACTTGAGTGGCTATGGGAGGACTGGGTATATTTGTACACAAACATGCATGAATTTCAGTACATCAAGGGTTGCCTTCTGGATACTATACCGATATAATACATAAATACATCATCTAGTTCCCCAGCCCACAGGGTAACTGTGCACAGAACCAACCCATTCCATCCCTGTTTTTACATTTGTATATGTGGCTGTGTATACTGAATAGGTTTGAATTGTGTTAGATTAATCAGTAGTTGCCGCATTTATTGTGGCAAGTGCTTCAACATCTTGTAGCTGAGTAGGATGGATATACTGTAGCTGGTCATGACAAAAACAAGTAGTGAAAGATTTGTAACTCTTGATACATATCTGAAACTTGTGAGTAAATGACAGGGGCTTAATCCTCCTTTTTGCAAAGCTCCAGACATACAGTGGAACCGAATAAGCGAACACTTGTGTTCCTATATTTAGTCCCAAATGTTCACCCACAGTGCAATACAAAGCACATGATAAAACCTGGAAAAGACTGACTGACTGAGTTTGGTTTTACGCCGCTTTTAGCGATATTTCAGCAACATCACAGCGGTTGATACCAGAAATGGGCTTCACACATTGTACCCATGTGGGGATTCGAACCTGGGTCTTCAGCGTGATGAGCCAACTCTTTAACCACTAGGCTACCCCACTGCCCACCTGGAAAAGAATATAGGAACACTTGCACCATCATGTGTTCCCTTCATTTCCATGAGTGTATTATTTCATGCGATTCACACCTTGTACCTGTACACGTGATGAATCAAACCATTCCTTGTCATTACAAGTAATTGCCCAAATTGTGAACATGAAAAACTAAAGGGAAAATAAATCAGTTGGACAGGTGGACACTGTGAATGGTGAAAAAATGGTTCTTTGCAGTATCAGAATCTTACAGTACCACAAAATACTTTCAAAATGACTTACCAGTCAGTTGTGTGCCAAAGGTGTAAAGGATCCAGACAATATAAATCCTTATCTCACTTATGTTTCACGGCTATTGAGAAAATACTCCTTTGGAACAGTCTGGCCTAACAGTGGTGTTCCAATATGGTGAACCACTTTCTCCTTCAAAAAGCCAATAATAATCCAGGCTAGAAATCTCAAAGGCCTTTTGAAATGTTGGTGGTTGCCAGCTCTCCTTTATCAAGCCAATGTCTGATGTAAAATATTGAACAAAATATCGAGAGGATTTGTGGAGAGTAGGAAAATCCTACTTTAACCCTCTATAGTTTGCCACACGTAAAGAAAAGTGTTAAAGGCAATGCAGGATGACTTAATAGGATCAACAGCCAGGATACAATGTATGTGATTGTTGATGTCGATTTGGAAATATTGCTTTAAGATTGCAGATTTTAAAATAATTGTTTATTTTGCCACTTTTCTAAAATAATTTTTTCCAAACTTTTTGAAGATATATGGAGGATATTACATGAGTGCCCATGTCATACTATGTTTACGACACGAGTGCATAAAAGTTGGTATTTCCCGAGCAAGAGCGAGGAATGTACCGATATTTAGGCACGAGTGTCGTAAACATAGTATAATATGGGCACGTATATGATATTCTGTTTATTACCAAAAGTCATCAAATGGAAGAAAATGAACCCAAATCTACTTTCAAACATAGGCTGGCTACCTGCTGTCGCCGCACGTAAAACGTAACATCACAGAAGAAACGTGACTTCATAGCATTGTTCGTGACATCGCGTCACCATGACAAAATGATATTTTGTCCTCGTAGGTAATATACCATAGTATATTGGCTGATTGTTAAAGCTTAGATTTCTATAAGGCTTTTAGATCTTTTGGGGATTTTTAGTGCTGCAGGGCTTGATTACCTGACAGGCATTTTCTCTTAAATACAGCAATCTACAAATCTTGGGGGTGGGGTGGTGTGTGTTTCTACAAATTTTAGGGATGAACAGGCTCTATGACTGGGTTGAAATTGTGTCATTGTCCCCCAGAGATTTGCTTCATTGTTCATATATTAGTCACTGGCTCATCTGGCCAGACGTTTTTACAGGTTGTTGTCACATAGCTGGAATATTCCTGAGGAGTGGAAGTAAAGGGGTTAATAACTAATTGCCTAAGATTAGCTAGTGACATGGTACTAGACGAGTGTTGGTGGCACTGGGATAAGATTAGTTTGAAGAATTGATACCAAATGTGTTCCAAACAATATTTGAACTTGAGGTGAAGGTCCTGGAGGCTGATTTATGCCATCAATAAGGTTCCTCTGGAGAGCTAAGTACATGAGCAGCATTCTAATTGATCTGCAAATCCTAGCATTTGAACTTGTAGAAATTCTTGAAAGTGTGAGTGTGTTGTGAGGACTTGCTTATTGAAAGTTAGGAAATAAATCATTTAGCTTGTAGGAATGGAGATTATGCAAAGACAGCGGTGGAGTGGAATAAGCTGACTGAAAAGGGAATTTATTTAACAGATAGTCTACCTGATTGTGCTTTATCTGGAACAAATGACTTGAAGGCAGTGTGTATCTGGTGGTTAAAATGGATCATTAGGATGACTTCAGACTGGAATCCTAAATCCAGACCCGACAATGTAGCCGTCTAGTCTCTATTTTCACTTGCTCACATTGGAAAAGCATTAGTCATTGGGCATCACAACCTCATAGAACTATACGAAAATAAGTTACATTTATGTAATGAAAGTAATTGTCTCATGCTGTTCTTTGTTATGATCACTTCTTGACATTAAGAATTTTCAAGTCAAAACTCCCTTAAAACATACAAACAAAAAAAAACAATTAAAAAAACCCAACAATATAAATCAACATACCTGTTTTCGTGCCCATGAGTAGCACAGAGGTTCAGTGCCTCTCTTGAATTTCATAATCACACAAGTAGAAATTGTTTCCCTTTTTTATAGCATCCTTCTCACTGTCTTTTAAATCATTGTCGACTGTGAAAAACACCAAGTCATAAATTCATCTAAATTCCCAAGCCCCCGTGGTTGTCCTAAAGGAGTAACCCGCTGCTGATTGGAGGGAATGTCCAAAGAGACAGATAGGGCATACAGTGGTGGCAAACACTGGGATGTTTGGAGATTATTGCTCTTAAAATTATCTGGGAGATACGAGAGGTACGAGGGTGTAGTTATTGGTAGGATAGACCACAATGATCACCAGCTGAGAGATAAAGACAGAATATGAAGTCCATAGTTTGACCTCTGATCTAATTATCCCAAGGTATTATGCCCAGGTGCTTTGGTTCCTGTAATTACAGGTGAAGGGACTTGTTAGATTACCTGAACATGATACACTTTTCACTGTTGCACTGTGTCTCATGTATAGTTACAGTTAATAGCACCACCAGAGGTACTGCTGTAAATGGCCTGAATGTGCCGCAGGGTGTTGTAAGACTTCCATCTGTTATGGCGAGATATACTGTGCCACTTGACAACTGCTGTAAGCATAGGCACTAGTCCACTCATTATCTTGAGCCCCAAACATTTTGAAGTAGACAAACATTCTCATTTCCCACACTCTGAATGCTTGTATCTCCACCAGCCATGAAGTGGGGCCCAGAGTTTGTTTGTAACCCTGAAAGGCTGGTTTGAATTCCTATATTGGTAATCATGTGATTCCTATTTGTGCTTTCCTCTGCCGTGATATAGCTGAATGTAGCTGAGAAACTTTGGGTCATGCTTTAGCCCCTTCAAATTGCCGATATTAATGTTCTGTAATGTTCCTTCCATGCTTGTTCCTGGACGCGATGACTTATTCAAGAGTTTCTTTCTTGACAATATTAAACATTCACTACATTTCCAGTTGAGCTACATTGCCATTGCACTGGTTTAGTAAGCAGTTCCTGGTTGGTATTTAGGAAACAAAAGACATTTCTGATTATTAATTTGTTCAGCAAGAATCTGAATATGGTGCAATGTCCTGGTCACTGGTGTTAAAGTTTAACCTTTCTTATTTAAAACTGTTTTTTGGGGAAGGCAGAGTACTTAACCAGTTGGAGGCCTGCACTTGCCATATTTGTTTTACCAGGTTATGTAATAGTCCAATGATTGGATTGATTTCCAATACACCTCAGTCCAACCTCATTGTGATATCAGGTTTTTTATCATATTCTGGAGTGTAGTCCATAACTCTAGAGGAACATTGTTGATATGGCTCTTTTGGAGCCCTGCATGTAATGGATGGCTTTATAATGAGGTTTGATGGCGAGTACTCTTTTGGATGCTGTGGTTAGAATGGAAACGTTCAATGACTGTTTACATGCATCGATTATAGGGGTGGTCTTCCAGGAGGGACAGGATGTGAAATAATTGTTAGTTATTGATTGGTAGCTTTTCCTGTTGGGTTGTGTCAATAAAATACAAGGATATCTGCAGTTTGATTTTTTCATATTTTTTATGAAATAATCCAATCCCTGTTGGAAACCAATATACTATTTTTCTGTCCTTTTTCACCATTTTCTTCCTACGAGCACAGGGGCGGTGGGGTAGCCAAGTGGTTAAGGCGTTGGCTCGTCACGGCGAAAACCCGTGTTCGAATCCCCACATGGGTACAATGTGTGAAGCCCATTTCTGGTGTTCCCCGCCATGATGTTGCTGGAATATTGCTAAAAGCGGCGTAAAACCAAAACTCAGTCAGTCCTACGAGCACCAGTGTATCTGAGCCATTGGTAGGCAGATTCAGAGATTTGTTATTTTCTTCCAATTTGCAATTTTTTTATTTGTTAATATTTTCTTAAATTCATAAATATTTTCCTTTTCCTCTCACTTGTCCTGTTTTCAGTGATATTCAAGCCACCTGAGACAAACCATTACTGCAAATGTCAGCCAAAGTGCAGATCTAGATAAATCTCAGATAATGTTTTACAGATAGAATGATGGGATTGTTTTAAATCAGTTCTGTAAGTCTCTGACAGGTGATGAATTAGTGCTGAAGTTGAGCCAGACCATTTTTGTTTCCTTGTTATAAAACTGTGATTAAATTCGGTATGCCAAATCTGACACAACTAACATTGTGAATTTGGACCAGGGTATGTGTGTGATAAATGGGTTAGCAGGGTTGGACCAGACGTCAGTAAACTGCACACTTGCAAAGAACATCTTTTGAAGCAAAATCTGAAACTGTCTTTAAAACAACATGGAGTGGTGGGGTAGCCTAGTAGTTAAAGCATTTGCACATAATGCTGAAGGCCTGGGTTTGATTCCCCACATGGGATCAATGTGTGAAGCCCGTTTCTGGTGTCCCCAGCCATGATATTGCGGGAATATTGCTAAACATGGCACAAAACCTTACTCACAAATTTAAGCACCACATATTTCAAGTCAAATTCAGTTTTACTTAACCTTTCTTCCCCTTTAACTGAGAATAGTTGGTCTGGTCTCAATGGTTTGACTAATAAGCAATCATTATGGACAAAATAAGAAATCCTTCTGTGATTGAGAGAAGAACAAGATTAAGGTATTGGGGATCTTTGCATAAAGTTCAAGATAGACATATAAGATGTGATTTTGAGAGGAAAAAGTCTCTTTGAAATAATAATTCCATTGTGTGTGATAACATAAATATGTAGGGTCAGAAATATGATACTCACAAACAATTTCAATTTCGTCCTGTGATGTCAGCTGGGAACAGTCACCTGAAGAGTGGAGCTACGATAAAGATCAACGTCTACTTGGTGTTGGTTTTGAAATGTAATCCTCACTTTCTACCCCACAGTAGATCATGTCCCCAGGATGAACAAGGCTTGTTGTTATCACAGTACTTAATCACTAGTCCACGCACTTGTTTCATTGATTCAACAGGAGGATTATTGGAATTTACCGATCAAGTTTTTCCACATCTCTGGGTGCAAGTTATTCTTGGCTAGGAGGAAATTAGACCATCTTTGTTGCTATAGTGAAAACAGACCATGTAATACGGGATCATTTATCGTTGCTGGGTTGAATTGTAAATACTTTAGAGATTAAATAGGTTTGTGTTGTTTATGGTCTGTGTGTTGGTGACTTGTTGCCATAGACATGTCCTGCCTGATGGACTGACTGACTGAGTATGGTTTTACACCGCTTTTAGCAATATTCCACCAATATCTAGCGGGGACACCAGAAATGGGCTTCACACATTGTACTCATGTGGGGAATTGAACCCGGGCCTTCGGCATGACGAGCCAACGTCCTGAAAATGTGGTTCATGGACTGTGAGACCGACTATTAGGCTTCAAGCATTTGACTTTGAGTGGTCTGTGCTGTGAGGTGTTTAAATTTTAAACTTTAAAGTATTTGCTGTAGTATTAGCAAACCACGGAAACCATGGATCTGTGACGTGTGACTTAAATCAACTGTTCCTAACTACTCTCACTGCTGCTGAAACACTAACAGGTACACACACCTGCACATATCCAGATAAGCTGTGTATTTGTGTAAAATGCACAAAATAGATCACCATTACCAAAATTAATTCCAAATTGCAATTTGCTTGAACAATTTTAGGAACCTTAAAAAGTACATTCAGTGTATCCATCTCATTGTGCATACTTGTATTCCTTCACAGATCTTTATTTACAAATTGAATGAAGGCATCACACATAACTGGAGTCTGTAGTTCATAATGCAGTGCATCCAAGGGGTGCAACTTCTTGCTGTCTGGGGGCGGTGGGGTAGCCTAGTGGTTAAAGAGTTGGCTCGTCATGCCGAAGACCCGGGTTCGAATCCCCACATGGGTACAATGTGTGAAGCCCATTTCTGGTGTTCCCCGCCGTGATATTGCTGGAATATTGCTAAAAGCGGCGTAAAACCAAACTCAGTCAGTCAGTCTTGCTGTCTGAGATTTAGACATGGACTAGGGTATTGCTGTTGTGACACTCTGTTACACCTCCAGCAGCATATAAATACACAAATTAGAAGGCACCGGATACAGCATTTTAGGCAGAAATATTAGTGACAATGTTTAATTATTGGTGTAAAATATTCTGAACCTGAGTCAATTTGGGTATATGTATTGAATATTACCTGCAGGAAACTAGTCATCCCTAATGGTAACTTGTGAGAAAATGGCTCATTGAATTTAAAAATTCTGACGCCCCACTACTGCAAACTATGACATGCTAATTCTTATTCAGTAGAACTTTACTTGAGACAACCCTTTTAATTGATGCCTCTGCTTCTTTGCACAATAGGCTCGCTGACTTGGTTGACACATGTCATCGGTTCCCAATTGCGCTGATCGATGCTTATGCTGTTGATCACTGGATTGTGTGGTCCAGACTTGATTATTTACAGACCGCCGCCATATAGCTGCAATATTGCTGAGTGTGGTGTAAAACTAAACTCACTCACTCACTCACTCTTTGTACAATATATGTCTGAGTTCTTGTGAAAATTTTGAGAAACACAAAGAGTTCAGTAGAGATGTTTTATTGATCATGGAATGGTATCTTAGAAGTTTATTGAAATGAGATCATTGTGAGATTGTCATATAGATCTCTGCAAGACTTAATCAAATTGGGAATGTACACTGAAAGTTGATCTTATAATTATTTCAGTGTCTGTATATGCATGTGCAAACATCCATCCATCCATCCATCCGTCCATCCATCCATCTATCTGTCCATCCATCCATCCATCCATCCATCCATCCATCTATCCATCCATTCACCTATGACCGCCTCCGTGGTGTAGTGGTTAGAGCGTCCGCCCGGAGAGCGGAAGGTTGCATGTTCGATCCCCGACCGCGTCATACCCAAAGATGTTAAAATATGGTACTTGTTGGTCCCTGCCTGGCGCTCAGCATTAATGGGTACAACAAGGACTGGTCGGCTTGGGGTCAGTATAATGTGTCTGAGTGGGGTATTCATACTTCACCGCGGCATGGTATCTCAGCGGGCTAGCACTATAAAACCAGCTTAAGTCTGGGTTAGTACAAGCAGCTGCACATACACATACACACTCGCATGCATGTCGTCATATGAGCGAAATATTCTCAAGCACGACATTAAACCCAATTTCACCTCACATTCATTCACCTATCCATCCAACCATCCATTTTACACACACGCACGCACGCATGCACACACACACATGAAAGCAACCACTTATTCATTGATTACTAGTAGTCTAATCAGTTTTAAGGGACATATTAAGTCAGGCTATTTTGCACACAGGATGTCCTTTGTACACTTCAGCCACCTAAGATTTCCTTTTTTCACAATACCAGCAGGGCTATAGAAAGTCAAAGTAACATTTTCATGACTTTGAGAGTTTACGTCCTTTGAAGTAGGTATATCCCTCAGTGCTTAATGAAAGCTGGTCTATCTCAGTACAGACAGCGTCATTGACTATCTGCCAATATACTGTGTATAAATTGCAGTTGATGTCAGTAAAGCTTGACACTGATGGGTTTGCCACATTGTGTAGTATGGAGTATTATTGGTATGTGAATACCGTAAGTCTCGGTATAGGTGGATGGCTTTCTGTAAGTGAAAACTATAAGGCTCGTACTCTGGTTGTAGTCAGTATTGACAAACAGAGATCAGGTCAAATGATCCATGTGATCCTAAAGAGCTTGAACTTTTTCATGTACCGGTATGTGGGATGACTTGAGTAACCTCTGTGGGAAGAGAATGATGCTAAAGTTTTATTAATTGTTTCTCACCTTAGCTGCAAAACTGCTGAAAGCTTAAAGCAGTATTTAGTCATTCATTATTCATTTGAACAGTTGATTAAAACAATGACTTGCTAAAGGTTTGTCATGGAACTATCATGGAATGATAATTCATACGAAAATTCATTATTAGTTATAACCACTACAAGCAATATATTAGGATTCACATATTAGGAAAATAAACATATAGAATATTAGTTTCATCATGTATCTGTAAAAAGTTCATTATTCCATGATAGAACCAAAAGGTTAATATTCTATGAAAAACTTGCAATATTGGTAAATCAGTTTAATTGTAAAAATCACTGATTATTTCCTACTTCAAAAGTCTCTGTGTAAATAGCACAGCCTCCAGAATTTAGAATTAGGAGATAAACATACTGTGTTGGAAAATCAGAGGTATATAACAAAATTATAATATCTCTAAATTTGATTTAAACCAAACACGTAGCATGAGGTTTTAAATAAAAAAATTAGAGCTATTATGATTTCATTATATATATACCTCTGATTTTCCAACACAGTATGTTTATCTCCATCTACCATGACTGCATTATTAAGATTTAAAAAAAATACATACTGCGTTGGAAAATCAGAGGTATATAACGTGATTATGTACCTCTGTCCTCTGAATAACTTCAATTAACCAATCACAATCCAGTGTTTACTGAAGTCATGGTAGAATCCTTGTTCTTCATTGGACTGTTTACGGTAGTTGGTATCTGTGCTAGTTTTATCATGTGACAAGCAGGCCAGCACTCTCTTTGATCTCACTGACTTAACCAGTTAATATTGGTGATCTGTTCTTATGGGTGCCAGGGGAAATAAAACTAGAGGATTTCAACAAGTCTGATTCTGTAGATAACTAACATAAACGTAACAGATAGGATCAAAGTTTTTTTGTGCTGAATCCAAAGGTCATGCTTTTGGTTCACAAGCATTGATCTGATGATATGTCATTTTTGAAATGCTTGAACATTTAGTGTCATAGGTCAACATGAGGATAAAATACTGCTGATATTACAAGGCTTAATATGTATCAATATCCATTTCTTAATGATTTTTATATGAAAGGGCATTGACATGTACAATAACATAAGATGTATTAATCGTTAAAATATGCATTTTGCAGAAACGTAAAAAAAATCTCAAATTACAGTATTAAAAATGAAGCCCATTGTCTGTGCACACAAAAATGCACCAAAATACTCCATGAGTATTTTTATTCAGTTCTTCGAAGAGGTACCAAGTCCCACAGTGTGCTCATGAAGGTCCACTGTGTCCATGTGAAGGTCATGTGTCATGTATCCTGAGGATACTTCTAAGGGTCTTCAATTGACACTTAAAGGTCCCATATATCAAGGAAAACCAAGTTCTTTGGATAATCAACTTCTTTATTGCAACGAGTGCAAAGTTTTGGTTAGGTGCTAACACTGTTATCAAGCAAGTGATGGAAGCAATATCCACAGAACTTGGTTTTCCTTCATGTTTACAACTTCTAAGATGCCTCGCAAAGAAGTCTCATATATCCTTGTGAAGTTCCTAAATATATAGTTACATGTCCTGAGTATTCTCATAAAAGTCCTCAGTGTTGTAATAATAATTCAGAGTATCCTTGTGAAGCCGGATTGTATGCTACTGACGGTCCTTGGTGTCTTCCTGAAGGACGTCATCATGCAACTAATGGTTTAACATATGTTTGTGAAGTTCCAAAGGATGCTTATAAAATTGTCCACAGCATCCTTGTGAAGGCCCGGAATATGCTACTACAGGACCAGAGCATCCTTTTAAATGTCCTGAGACCGCTGCTAAACGTCCAGAGCATCCTACTACTAAAGTTTTTTAGAGTGTCCTTGTGAAGCTCCAGAATAACCTTTCCAAGGCCCCATAAGGCTTGCTGTAACTTTTGTATCAGTTGACCAAAGCAGGTGCAGATGATTACACATGTTTTTCTGTTTCAGAGATACTTCCTCAGACACCACGCCACCCACATCTCCTCCTGCCCTCCGCCGGTCAGGACGTAGCAGTGATGAAAATGTCTTCTCTCGTCTCACAAGCAATCCCCAGAGCACTAGTCCCAACCCTAACAGGTGGGTGTCAACCGGTACTGTATTTATGAACCTGTTTTGTTTTTAAAGATTTTGTGACAATCCATCTCACAAATTACACTTGAATGGATTCCATCGAAAAAAGATGGTCAGTGAGTGGTTACATTGTTTTGTTTGATCTTGCTCTGTGACATGGCTTAAATATTCATCTTGCTTCTCTTGTCCAGCCACCTTTATATTCAGGCCAATGTGAGGTAGTTCTGAATTTGCTTGATGTAGTGAGCATTCACCCTAAAAAGAGGACCTGTGAAGATCCGGGTTAGAATTGATCTTCAGTAACCCATGCCTGTCGTAAGAGGCGACTAATGGGATTGGGTGGTCAGGCTCGCATGTCATCGTATCACAACTGCGTAGATCGATGCTCATGCTGTTGATCACTGGATTGTCTGGTTCATACTCAATTATTTATATGGACTTCCTCCATATAGCGGGAATATTGCTGAGTGTGGCATTAATCAACAAGCCAGCCAGCCAACCAACCAACCATTTACAAACTGATAGTTAAACGTTTATTTTTTGTGTCCTACCTCTTCAGGGGCAGCATTGTTTCTGTCAGCGGACGACCCTCAAGTGGAAGGTCATCACCTTTGACCTGCACACACACAGCTGAAGGTCACACTAAGGCAGTCCTTGCAGTTCATGCTACTGATGATCTCCTGTTTACTGGTAGTAAAGGTCAGTTATGTCTAGATGTAATCAGCTTATAATTCATGAAGCTTGTCAGCTGAATACTGTTACTTGGACTCGTGTCCACAGGGCGATCTTTGCGTTAAGTGTCAAAGTATGGAACTTGAGAACATCTCTTTCCAAAGATAGCTTTGTGAAAAGGGCCTAATTCATGACAAAAGTTGTCAATACTCTAAAATGTTCTTTGTGTTTATTTTTAAACTATTTATGGAGTGGAACATCTTGTACGAGTTGCAAGCTCTCTTCAGAGCAATAAAAGACCGCAGTTGATTCATGAAACTTGAAAAAGCGATGTTTGTTTTGTATCTGCATCGACCTCCTCCGTGGTGTAGTGGTTAGAGCGTCCGCCCAGAGTGCGGAAGGTCGCAAGTTCGATCCCCGACTGCGTCATACCAAAAGACGTTAAAATATGGTACTTGTTGGTCCCTGCCTGGCGCTCGGCATTAGTGGGTACAACAAGGACTGGTGGGCTCGGAGTCAGTATAATGTGTCTGAGTGGGGTATTCATGCTTCACTGCGACATGGTATCTCAGTGAGTTAACACTATAAAACCAACTTAAGTCTGTGCTAGTACAAGCAGCCGCACATACACATGCACACGCTTGCACGTTGTCATATGAGCGAAATATTCTCAAGCACGACGTTAAACCCAATTTCACCTCACCTCACTTGTATCTGCATCATCTCTTCTTTAATTACCTCATTATGTATTGTTGTCCAAAGGTATGGTGTTTATGTGGACAGTTCTTGGAAGAAAAAAACATTCTCTGAAACCTTGTTATCAAATATGCTTCACAGCTAAATCTGGAATATCTTAGTGCAGTAATCAGTTGTTTATCAGCCAGATAAAATTATTCAATGACAGTATAAGTTGTTCTCTGGTCTTGAGGGGGACATGGGCTGATGTACCCTCGATGTTTGTCCCTGAGTCCGAAGGTACATCAACCCATGGGCTACATCAACACATAAGCCCCAAGGGACCAGTGAACAACGTATTTAACTAACCGAACACCTCAAGGGTAATTTTCAACTGTTTGAAGCATGGGTATCGGATCATAGTATGGAGTACCAGACTACAAGATGACAAGAAAAACAAATTAGAGTTATCTCCCTTCCATCGATTTTGCATTCGCAAAACATCAGTAATTTCCGTACATCATACGTGATTCAATGTTATTCGAGATAAAGAATTACCACTACGAAGTACCAAATGAGTTGAAAATAATAGNGCTAGCCAAAGATGTATGTGGAGGGAAGATAATAAGATATGTAACATTTATGTATGAATGTGTTAACCCCATGTTTATTGACTGTCACACTGTTGCACTGACTGACTGAGTTTGGTTGTACGCCGCTTTTACTTCAGCAACATCACGGCGGGGGACACCAGAAATGGGCTTCACACATTGTACCCATGTGGGGATTCGAACCCGGGTCTTCGGCCTGACGAGCCAACGCTTTAACCACTAGGCTACCCGACCGCCCCATCACACTGTTGCATGTAACTACTGGCACTGCATTATAGTTTGTGTATGGTTGTAGATCGTACAGCCAAGACATGGGACCTGGTTACTGGCAAGGAGATCCTGGCATACACAGGACACCCCAACAATGTAGGCAAGGTGAAGTACTGTGAGGCCACCAAACTCGCTTTCACCGTATCCCAGTCCTTCATCAAAGTGTGGGACATCCGGAGCAAGTCTGCACAGTGTATCAAGACGCTGGGGTGAGTCATAAAGCTATGTAGTGAGTCAAGATGCTGGGGTGAGTCATACTGTTATGTAGAGAAAAGATAATAAGGTGAGTCAAGCTGCTAGGGTGAGTCATAATGTTATGTAGAGAAAAGACAATAGGGTGAGTCATAATGTTATGTAGAGAAAAGACAATAGGGTGAGTCAAGATGCTGGGGTGAGTCATAATGTTATGTAGAGAAAAGACAATAGGGTGAGTCAAGATGCTGGGGTGAGTCATAAAGCTATGTAGTGATAAGATGCTAGGGTGAGTCAAGATGCTGGGGTGAGTCAAGATGCTGGGGTGAGTCAAGATGCTGGGGAGAGTCAAGATGCTAGGGTGAGTCGAGATGCTGGGGTGAGTCGAGATGCTGGGGTGAGTCAAGATGCTAGGGTGAGTCAAGATGCTGGGGTGAGTCATAATGTTATGTAGAGAAAAGACTAAGGTGAGTCGAGATGCTAGGGCGAGTCAAGATGCTGGGGTGAGTCATAATGTTACATAGAGAAGACTAGGGTGAGTCAAGATGCTGGGGTGAGTCATAATGTTATGTAGAGATAAGTCAAGATGTTAATATGAGACGATGCTATCTTGTGTCAAAATGCTAGGGTGAGACCAGATGCTTTGGTGAGATCTGAAACTAAGGTGCGGCAAGATGCTACAGCGAGAATGCTAGGGTGAGACAAATCTAGTTCTATCCCAGAGTTTGCATAGGTGTAGTATACCAAGACAACTGATTAAAATGTTGTCCTTCAAGTCTTATGCAAGAGTTGAACCCTGAATATATGATGATGAAACCAAGTACCTATGATACAATAAGCCTGTTGTGATAGTCACGACTTTGTTAATTGTTACAGGTTGAGTGAATCAGTTACATGTGATGTTTTCAGATCCTCTGGACTGAGTGTGACTGGTCCAGCCAATCAGACCTATCAGTCCCGCCAGACCGACCTGGCCCCTGGTGAACATCACATCAACGACATCGCCCTTGGGAGTGATGGTGTCACACTGTACTGTGCTACAGGCAATATAGTCAGAGTCTGGGATCTCAGGAGGTTTGTGAAGTTTTTACCGTTTAAGAGTATTGAACGTTAATAATAGTGAGTGAGTTTATTTTTACACTGCTTTTAGTAATATTCCAGCAATATCACGGCGAGGGACACCAGAAATGGTCTTCACACATTGTACCCATGTGGGGAATCAAACCCAGGGTCCACTTGCACAAAGCTATCTTAGTGCTGAGGTGATTGTAACTCCAATACTTTAACATAGACTTACAATCATTGTAGCGCTAAGATTGCTTTGTGCAAGTGGATCAAGGTCTTCAGCGTGACAAGCAAACACTTTAACCACTAGACTACACCACCACCCTGAAATAATCACCTTGAGGCATTTAACTGGATTAACATTGACATTTAGTTCTGAGACTTAAATTATTTTCATAATGGACAATTTATATGGTCCGGTGGAAAGAGTGTCCGCTTGGAGAGCTTGAAAGTCACCACTTTTACTCCACTGGTATGGATACTATCTTATCAATTGATGCTTAAGGGGCGGTGGGGTCTGATAGTGGTTAAAACGTTTGCTCATCACACTGACGGCCGGGGGTCGATTCCCACATGGGTACAATGTGTGAAGCCCATTTCTGGCATCCTCCGCCATGATATTGCTGGAATATTGCTAAAAGCGGCGTAAAACCATACTCACTCACTAATACTCTACCAACTTCACACAAAGTAACTCAATAATTGGGATGCCACCAATTTTGAAACCTCCAGATACAGTGCAGTGGGGAAGCTGAGTGGAGGCCACCAGGCAGCTGTTATGGTGCTGGCTGTAGATGCTAGCACAGACTCCAGCACTGTCATCACAGGATCCAAGGACCACTATATTAAGGTAACGAGTAGTCGTATACTTCCAGCATCACCAAAAATGTGATCATACAAGACCCTTACAAGGCTGGCATGTACTTCAAAGCTTTGAAATTCTGATTGTTTAACTTGAAAGGCATTGTACTTACAACATTATTAAGGAAAGACCTTCCTGTTTGAAAATGAGACCTGGTAGCTATTATTAGAACCTTGAAAAGGTTTTATGGAGTCCTTGAATAAATATACATTAACTATTTGCTTGAACCAAACATTTATAAATCTATGCATCCTCTTAGTATTTTTTCAGGTTGTTACATGCCTGCATAGTCTACACCTTAGTGTGTTGAAAGTGGCTCTTTTTCTTCTATTAACAGAAAAACTGTCCAAGGGAAGCAACTCTATACAACTATCTCCACAAATTATATGCATATTCTCAATGGCAGATTTCTGGCAAACATTCATTTGAACATTACAAATTACCCAACCTTATGGGCTATATATATCTACAGGTTACTTGTTGCAAATTATATATGTTAAAGTGGTATGTATATATAACTAACTTTTGCTTGTAATAAGCAACATGTATGTTATCTGTTGCAGGTGTTTGAGGTGATGGATGATGCTGCAGGCGTGTTCACCCCCAAGTACAACCTGGAGCCCCCTCACTATGACGGAATACAGTCTCTAGCTCTCCACGGCAGCATGCTGTTCAGTGGCTCCCGGGATACTTGTATCAAGAAGTGGGACCTCAAGGACCAGCAGCTGAAGCAGGTTAGTATCATTGAAGTATACACTCTTTGAGAATCAGGTACAATGTGTGAAGTCCATTTCTGGTGTCCCCCACCATGATATTGCTGGAATATTGCTAAAAGCGGCATAAAACTAAATCACTCACTCACTGGGAATCAGGACCAAGATAGTTATGTGTTGTTGTGCTACATTTGGCAGTGAGGGACCATCATTAAACGTGGATATTCTAAATTACATTGAAATCAGTCCTTCCTAGACAGACACAGTTACTAATCCCTTCCTTCTCCATCTCTCCAGTCAATGAATGCTGCACACAAGGACTGGGTGTGTGCACTGGACTTCATGCCAGGAGGCAACTTCCTGTTGAGTGCATGCAGAGGCGGCATTCTCAAGCTCTGGCAGATGGACTCCTGTGCTCAGATTGCCGAAATCAAGGCTCATTCCAGCCCCATCAATGCCATCTCAACCAATTCCACCTCAATCTTCACTGCGTCCAAGTGAGTATCTACCTTACTTGATGAGTACAAAGTAAAAGATGATGCAGTTTGTTACCAAGGATCCCCATTGACATTGCCACCCTGTTGTAAGAAATGACTGGTGAGGATTTGGTAGTTACAATGCGGACTCGTTTTGTGGCACTCTACCATGACAATGTACCTCTTTGTTCAAACTGGGCCGTGGTTAAAGCGTTCGCTCGTCATGCCGAAGACACAGGTTCGATTCCCCACATGGGTACAATGTGCAAAGCCCATTTCTGGTGTCCCCTGCCGTGATATTGCTGGAATATTGCTAAAAGCAGCATAAAACCAAACTCACTCACCTACTCACTCATTGTTCAAACCATCAACTACTGGTATGCCTAGCCTTGGCTTCAGTAATTACAGGCCAGCTTGATAGAGCTGAAATATTGCTGACTATACTATACAACATTACATGCTCATTTGCTCAAACATGAATGTATTTAGCAGAACTAGAGTAGTTTATTATTGAATAGTTGTATTTCACATCAGAAATCTAGGCTTCATTCCTGGATACATACAAGGTCTTCTCAGCAACGTGATGGCGCCTCATTGATTACATCATAGGTCTGCTAATATTGTACATTGTGTCCCTGCATTGTAGTTAGTTTACCTACAGCTCAGGGGGACATGAGTCAAGGTCAGTTAAGGTGCAGCAATTTGTCTCTTAGTCCTGCTTAGGCACCTTTCATCATGGGTTTGAATCTGAGATTCACCCTGATTTTGGTCCAAGGTTTGCCAGCACTATGTCTGTGCTTGAAAGTTTCTGCCTAAGATCTGAAGATTTAAGCTTCATTACAAGCTGACACACCATTATGAACTGAAATACTGTTCAAAGTGGTGTTAATTAAGTCAAACTTTCTAACTCACTCACTTGGCATTCACGCACTCACTCACTCAGCCAGCCTCTTTGATGAAGTTGTCTTTCAGCCATCATCTTCTGTTCATTCCAGTGAGCCTGTGGTGAAAATATGGCAACTTCGAAGAACTAACAGTCTACGAATCTTTAACCGGGAGTGGTTCATCTAACACGACTAACACTGACCAATATTTGTCATCATCATTGCATACTCCAGCGACTACTGTCTACAGGTGTGGGATGGACACATGCTTCCTGCTGTTTCAAATAATGATCACCTTACATACACTCAACATCAGTTAGTCCCAATTTCACTTGGTAACATGGCACACTTACAGCTATAGTCCGTTTGGCTCAAAAGCGGACCGGGACAGTGGGATAGTCTAGTGGTTAAGGTGTTCGCTCGTCACACCGAAGACCCGGGTTCGATCCCCACATGGGCATATTGTGTGAAGCCCATTGCTAAAAGCGGCATCAAAACTAAACTCACCCACTCTGTCAAAAGCGGACCGATGACCGCACACCTGGATGTTCCTCACTTTGCACTCCTCCCTCGTATCATATAGTGAACTGTGTCAAAATGTTAATGATAGTTTGTTAAACACTTTTCTTTAAAATTCTGCAAAAAAACTCAGAGTTGGTCTGATGTTTTGATTATGATCAGCGTTTCATTGAGTATTATATGTTTATTAGTTAGATTGCAATTCATCGGTCCACTTTTGAGTCAAGCGGACTAAAGCAGTTGATGCAAGTTCTGTCAATTAACATGAAAGAATTATTGTGCATTTGTGAATTGATAACTTGGATGTTATAAAGTATGTAGAAATACATTGATGAAATTATTTATAAAGCCATCCACAGTTCTTAGAAATTTGAAAGATGTGCTCCTCTTAATCACAGGTGGGCTGAATATTAGATATTAGGACACAATGACAAAGATACTCCTGGTACTGAGACATCTAACAAACAGCTTTAATACCTTCTTATAAAATGTTACGTTAAATGTCCAACACCCCTGTAAATATTTTCCCACTCTCCTATTTGCAGGCTGACCATGTACACAAAGCATTTAAGGTCCTTGAGTAAGAACCTTTTATTCAAAACGCTTTTAGCATCAGACAGCTTGACAGAACCTTCAAAGTATTTTTGAACTGTTAGTATTACTGTTGAAGTGTAGTTTCATTGTGTAGAGTTAGTGACTTCAAGGGCTTTCATATCATCCATTGTAACCATGGTTACTCATTGTAAATCACCCATCATCATTGATAAGAAATGATCATCCTGGTAACATGTCACAGTTATCTCCCCTAGTTTTGTTCAACACAGAATTTGAGAGAGTGTAGAGTGTGAGAATTAGTGCGGTACAGTGTGTAACATATAGACTAATGGCATTATTGTAAATATATTCTACTGAATTTGTTTGCTTGTGTTAAAGAGAAAATATAGGTTTTAATTAAAGGACCAGCTATCACGATATGTTGGATAGGAATGATGAGATTATATAGATGCTAAACATTGCCGTTCACTGTACATAATGAAACTGTTATGTAAGAGAAAATGAATATTGAGTTTATTTTGCAATATTTGTTGGTTGCCAATCAGTAAAGAGTGCCAAATTTGTTTCAAATATCAACAGCAATAGCTTTCTCAGAATGATAAACAAGCAGATTTGTCTTGACAAAGTTACACCAGGGCCCCTTTTCTCAAAGTGGTTACAGTGCTACTGCTTATCATTAGCTGTTAAAGTATAGGATTTATGATACTCATAGTCCTGGGCCCTGTTCCGCAAGCATTCATAGAGCTAGGACTATCATAAGTCTATGTTAATGTATGGGAGTAATGTGGTTGTCCATAATGGTGAAACGGTGTGCTCTTACCACAGTATGGTACGTATTTCGGTACAAGGCCTTGCTCTTACCACAGTATGGTACGTATTTCGGTACAAGGCCTTACTAACTTACTTCCGGGAAAATAGTGTCCGTCTAACATAGAAATACATAGATTTTGACAAAATGATTCAATTTCTAGACATGTTAGAAAATCTTTTAAAAGGTTAAGAAAATGAAGGTACGAAATCCGAAAATAGCGAATTTTTGGATTGCATTACTGTATACAGAACTGCAGGCAAAATACTGCAGTTCTACTAATACCGCGGTATACCGTTTCACCCCTAGTTGTCCACAATCACTTTTAGAAGGGGGCCTGAGTAACACAACATCACAATTACATCATCCTCAGGGCTTTTGTATAACCATGATACCAGTTTGCTTATGCCTGTATTCAAAGTTCATGTGCTTACTCTTAATAGTGGATGTTTGCTGACAGTTTCAGTATGAAAACAATTAGGGCACATAAATACATTCTCACGAAATCTACAAGTGGGGTACCCGGTACTTAATATATATACATTTGCTCAATGACAGGATATGTGTTAACACTCGGTTTGAACTCTTGTTACATATGCCAGCCGGTTATATTGTTAGATGCTTTAACTCGTCATCCTCAGTAATCAAGGCTACATTTCATCTGTTCTCTTGTTGTGTAGTAACGAGTTACTTACTATGAATTGTCATTGGGGAAAATACCAATTAATCTATAAACACAGAGAATCTCCAAGGAAACTGATAAATATAACCTTGATTGTTAAGGATGATACAAGCTTCAAAAGGCTTGATTACATTTGCTTGTTGAATTAAATATTGTTAAAATGTAGCCATTTTTGCAAGCTTGCCATAGAAGTGTTTGATAGATATTGATGGTTACATACTTGTTGACAAGAAAGATATATTTTGCTAAATGAAATGACCCTTTGACAAGTGAGTGATTCTATGTGTTGACATTGTTTTGGTTGTATACAGTCGGCACAGTACATAGTTCCTTTTTGAATAATATATGTGTCAGTCAAATTCTTTTTTCAATTCAAGACACATGTTCTCCTCTTATTGATCCTTTCTCATGTGGTTTCCGATCAGCTAGGCTTATTAACACATCTCAGATGGTCATGCTGTCAATTTTCAAGAGAACTATATATGTTCACAAATGAATAGTCTTATTCCATTTGTGGAAATGTCTATGAAAATCTTTTGAGTTGCCTTTCTGTATTGATTCAAAGAAACCTTCCTTGAGACTCCACAGATGTTTATCCAGGCACAGAAGCTCATTAAAGAATTCTTGTCCGGTTAATTAGATTGATATTCCCTAAAATGTACAGAAGTCAGTGCATTATTGCTGATAGGGTCACCTTTGATCAGTAACCATCAAAATGTACCCTGGGTTCAAAATCATATTGCAGGAATTTTGCATAATAATGTTTATGGTTGGACATTTCCTGAAACATTAAATTTATGAAAGTTCATCAGTATGTCTGACACCAGTGAAAATCTGTGACAACTCTATATATTGATGTACAAAGGGCACATTTTGATGGCAAACAAATGGAGAGTGATCATTAAGCATTTCACTGTAGATGCTATTCATGTGCATGGTGATGTTAAGCTTGACTTTGACTTCAAGTACAGGTAGTGCCACCCAAGGTAATGCCCTGTTTATCTCACAAAGTTTTCCATGGCTGTACCCTTATATCCCTGTAATGATCTGTACCTGATCTGGTATGTAAAAGCGGCTTGCTTTGGTTCTGTTTGTCAAAACCAACTAATTCTTTGATTACTTGGGACAGCTGGTTTGAACCATATACTCAATGTGGTGGCCCTGTCGCTGATGCTCCTGCTTGCCATGTGCATAACCTGGTTTGATTCTCAGTGGAGGCATGGGCAGTCCCTTATGAGACCATGTTGTAATGACTTCAGAATTTGCTTGAAAGTGTCAGAACCCTACACCGTTATCTATCCCAAGTCACTGTTTATATTCATTCGTTTTCTCATCAACATTCCATTATTTTTCAATATATTAGTTCAATGTATATATCAATGTACTTTAACCTGCATGTCTCTGTGACAGTTTCAGAGTTTGTAATCCAAACACTATACTTCACTTGCATGCAACTCACACTAACCTAACCCTTTCCTAATTTGACCTTCCCTTTCTTTTCACAGATTCATTTACAGACCCCTGCTTTGTTATTCTGTCTCATTTTCTCTTTTTTTGGTGCACATTTTCTTGGATCTGTTGTTTTTGCTTGTCTTATTTTCCTTCATTTGCAAGCTGTATTTTTATGTTTGCATGGCTATAGTGATTATTTCCCTGGTTTTAGTGACAACACCGTAGCATTCTGGAGACACAGAACCACCACCGACCCTTGCGATATCTCAGACTTTGGAGATGACCAGCAAGGGCCCACTTCCTGAAGTTAAGCACTTCACCTAGATCCATGAATTGATGATACTCAAGCAAGTACCTCCATCCAAGTAAAGATTTGTCCTACAAATACAGAATGTGCAAACTGTGTCTGAAGTTAGTGCTTTGTGTGTATTGTAAGCTGACACACTGGACTAATGTGTGAATCTGTACACATCCATTCTAGTGGATTGGTGAGAGAAAGGTGAACATGTTCTGTATCAAATTGTTTCTGTTTTATCGAGTAACCCATTGATTTTTGGAATCTGAAAACCAAGGTCAAATTTCTGAAATTTCTTGTTTTCCCTTCACATTGCAGGTGAAAACATAATGTGCCCTTTTCTAGAAGATAAGTGTTCAAAGAACATTATTTGTTATTTGTATTTATATAAAACAAATATAATTGAGTACCTGCTCATGTTGGAAAATATATGAGCAGCTTATCATGAACTCTGCATCCCCAACCTTCCCGAAAATCTTATGGTTCCTCCCTAACAATGACGTTTTATTTTCACTTTTCACTTGTAATTAAAACTTTTGATACTTACATGTGGGCGGTGGGGTAGCCTAGTGGTTAAAGCATTGGCGCGTCACGCCGAAGACCCGGGGTTCGATTCCCCACATGGGCACAATGTGTGAAGCCCATTTCTGGTGTCCCCCTCCATGATATTGCTGGAATATTGCTAAAAGCAGCGTAAAACTAAACTCAGTCAGTACTTACATGTTGTTGACAGTGATGTGAGAGTTGGGTTCCTGTTATTGTCAAATTGGATTAAGTATCAATATACAGCCATGCCACTAACAGGGTTGATTGCATTTACTCTTGAATGTAACATCTATCATACAGGTAATTTCATAACAATGTAATTAGCTTGACTATTTATGACATGTTACATCAGTTTCCTCTATAATCCAAAATATGCCATAGCTGATCTCAGTTACTCTGTAGTGTTAGTCATTTCAAGCAGAGAAACTCTGGAAATCATGATGCTCCAACATCACAATGCAAGACACAAGAGAAAATATATCATACAACATTTTTTCAGTGTGATCCCTCATATGGTTATTATATCTTAGAGAAGTTTCCATAGCTGTTGAAATCATTTAAACATTCTCTCTAAATATCATTAGTCATACATGAAATATTTTTAACAATTTGTCTCGTCAGTACCGGATCTCTGTTTTATCCAGAACTTGTCTACAAAGTGCAGATACTAACATTGTCTCCATGTTTTATTGTTGGTTACCAGGGTTCCACAATTCCAAGAAGCAATACCAAAATGTTGAACATAGTGTATATAGGGGTGTAAGGGTCAAGCCTGTCTGTAGCTTGAACACAAACACATACTGTTTCCAAATACAGGGATGCTCTCAAGGACCAATGTGTCAGTTTTGAATGAATTTTTGAGATTGAGTATTTGATCCAGTTTGTATGTTAGTGTGATATTTTCAAGGTTCCAATATTAGTTCATTGTACATTTGTCATTTATGAATTTTCCTTCCTTAACATGATCTCGTAAGTTATTCTGTACAACTGTGATTGACTCACAAGGTGATGGTCATGAATTTGACCCTGATTTGACCAGCGGGTCAGTCAAGTCATTCCTGCAGTATGCTTTTCAAACAAAGGCAAGGAAGTGGTGTATGATTCATTAAGAGAGTGGGTGTATCCGAAGAATGAAAGGATGAAGACTGATTGCCATTTGGCTGACTGGCTCTGAAGCTCAGGCTTTATAAATTGGTTTGATACCACAAACACTGAAGCTGTAGCTTTATAAATTGGTTTGATACCACAAACACTGAAGCTGTGGCTTTATAAATTGGTTTGATACCACAAACACTGAAGCTGTGGCTTTATAAATTGGTTTGATACCACAAACACTGAAGCTGTGGCTTTATAATTGGTTTGATACCACAAACATTTTGTCAGACAGATGTTATAACACTTTACATGATCTAATTGACTATTTAAATATTTTCTAAATGATTTATCATTTATTCAATTTTTTGTCAAGTGCTGAATTGACCATTTTGTCACATGATGTGATGATATTTCAGTTTGTAATGTTAAAATATTTACAAAAGCTTCAACAAGAAGGCCTGGTGACAAGGCGAGATGCAAGCTGGTTATTTTAAGATGTTTGCCCTTGTGCACCTACATTTAGGTCAACACAATTGTGGTGATTTTGTTCCAGATCTTTGTAGTGCTAATGCCCAGCTGTTACATTGTTAAGCTAGAAAACCATTTATTCCACAACTAGCTATTCTAAGGTGGAATAAATGGTTTTCTAGCTTAACAATGTCAGTTTATGAACTTACATATATCAAAGTTTCAAATATGTTTATGTATACAAATAACCAATCACAAAACCATCATCTTTATTGCATAAGATAGTTTCTTTTTACCATTTAATTGTTTAAAAAGGAATTAGAATATGTGACTTAGATTGCTGAGAACGTTTCTTGTACTGCAGAGAGTGTAATGCTTTTTCATTTTTCATTGGAACAGGGTGCTCTGTTTGTCTGTAGGATAAGAATATTAGAATATTAATATATTCACTAACATCAAGGTCATCAATGTATTGTCTAGTCTATATACTATACCTCATTTAAGCCATACATTTCAACTCCAGCATACAAACACTCCTAAAGTTTTGTTGCTGAGGTATATTTGACTATTTCAAGTTACCAGTTTCAGTGTCAGAGATTGTTAAAATTTGTTATCAGAGATATAATATGAATGTTGCCATACAAATGAAAATTAAGATGACTTTTTGTATTGTAAAAACTCTATTATGTTTCTGGAGCTTTATTTCACTTTTTTTTTATGTTTCAAGTATTCAAAAAAAATTAAGAAAGACTGCAAGGAAAACAGCACATGCTGTAGTTTTTAAATATTGTGCAGTGGTTGTTGATGCATAACTGTTGAGCTGAAACTAAACCTGGTGTCATTACCATGTAGCCTCTACAATATATGATGTATAAACATTGCCCTGTCCATATATTTATCATGACCAAGCCTGACTCCAGACATCATGAATGCTTGGATAGTGACTGCCTGGTGCTGTGAAACAATATCAAAGTAAAATATTTTCATATTCACCCTGTTGTTTTGTTCTTTGTTTTACTGGGAGTGTTAACCAGCTGATGTGAATCATATGTTTACTGTTTAGTGCATTCTTTCTTTCTCTATCTGTTCTTGTGTATTGCAGGTAACTATGATCAGATGGCAAACAATAATGTAGTGGTATATGGAATTATGTGAGATACTGCTTTAGCCAAGTCTAGTCTCTCTGGTGTCCCTTGCCATCCTTTACCCGTGAAGGTCCGGGTTAGAATGTACCTTCAACAACCCATACTTGTCGTAAGAGGCAACTAACGGGATCGGGTGGTCAGGCTCGCTGGCTTGGTTGACACATGTTTTCGGTTCCCAATTGTGCAGATTGATGCTCATGCTGTTGATCACTGGATTGTATGGTCCAGACTCGATTATTTACAGACCGCTGCCATATAGCTGTTGTGTAAAACTAAACTCACTCACTTACCATCCTTTTGCAAAGACATCAGCGTAACTGGTTTGATTGGAAAACACATCTATACCTTATCAGCCATTTGACCTCGCGTTATATATGCTTCTGGGTGTTTCCTTTGAATGAGTGATTTTTACAGTGAGTTATTTCATGGCTGTTGTCTTGATCTGGAAGAAAATCTTGATGTTAATCAGGTCTTTGACAAGATCTCTTTTTGGAATCTCATTGGCACAAACATGGCATAGGGACAACAGTCGGTGCAGTCATTAATGATTGTTCGGGGAACTGGGTCAACCAAGCCCCACTTTTACATGAACTTGCTTGGCGTTTGAGTGGAATCAAAGACACCAGAAAATATGGCCAAGGAATATCACTTTGTAGTCACTGCATGGCTGGCTAAAACACTGCCGATGCCACCTTAAATTGTAACTCACACACTCACTCCTTTTTGGCATGGACAGCAACTCACTAGGTTTCTCCAAAATGATGGCATATCATCTGATGTTCAATTGTAACGTTTCAATCGGGCATTGTTTGGTATCAGATTGTCTGTGCATTTGTCATTCTTTTCCACTTCATTATACGAAAGTGGACGGAACTTTCCTCAACATTTCACCAGATAGCTTGATTGTCTGAGTTTGTCGCAGTCAATCACTATGCTGTTCTAAAAAAGTACAGCCATGACTTCATTAACTGATACCAGGCGCTTGTACTTTATTAGTATGACTCCACTGTTTGTTCTGAAGGTATGAATCTGATTCTAAGATATTAACGCAAGTGTCATCCTCGGTAACACTTGGGTGAGCTAATTTGGTGTCATCATTCTGGTATTCATCTCGTTGACAGTTTTTCTCATAAGTAGTGTCAATGGTGATAGACTGCTCTGACACGAAACAGATTCTAAAAGTATGGATACGTTGAATCGTAAAACGTGGGTCAGCCATGTCCATGCAAAGGACAGCCACCACTCAGGTTTTGTTGGAAAGACGATACATGGCCATTTCAGTGCTTATTTCCCAACAGTTACATATGGTCAGTCGTAATGGCGTGATTCATATCTTTGTGACCCTTGAAGATCGATGCTCATGCTGCTGATCACTGGATTGTCTGGCCCAGACTCGATTTTTTACAGACCGCCGCCATATAGCTGGAATATTGCTGAGTGCGGCGTAAAACTAAACTCACCCACTCATCTTTGTGTATTTGTTATCCCGTTGGTGACAGACCGCATCCATTGTCGTGGGTTGATTTTATGAAGAAATGTTTCTGTGGCTACGAACGTTTCTTTTGAAACTGGGGCGGTGGGGTAGCCTAGTGGCGTTGGCTCGTCACGCCGAAGACCCGGGTTCGAATCCCCACATGGGTACAATGTGTAAAGCCCATTTCTGGTGTTCCCCGCCGTGATGTTGCTGAAATATTGCTAAAAGCGGCGTAAAACCAAACTCAGTCAGTCAGTCAGTCTTTTGAAACTGACAGACATAATGCCATCTTCATACAGATATGTGCTAGTTCGGCATATCCTTCTACCATACTCATCGAATAGAGGTGAGCTGTAATTTTATAAATGTTATACCTACTCAGACAATAGTTGTTTAACGCTGCACTCGGCAATATTTCAGCTATGTGTCGGCGGTCTGTCAATAGTCACGTCTGGTCCAGACAATTCAGTGATCAACAACATGAGCATCGATCTACGAAATTGGGACACGATGACGTGACAACCCGACCCCGTTAGTCGCTTCTTATAACAAGCATGGTTTTCTGAAGGCCAATTCTAACCCGAATCGACACGGTCCACGAATTTAAAATGAGTCCGAATAATATATGATTAGATAGGAGTCCGAAAAAACCTTGATGTTTTTGGATGTTGTTGCATCATAGTGTGAAAGATCAAGTAAAACACAAGCAAGATACATACAATTATCTCCAGAAACTATGCTCAGTTTGTGGATGTCACGATACAAGTAAGCATTCTGTAAGTTGGAATTTTCTTTACTACCAACGTGAGATAATGAGCA